TGATCTCCCATGAGAGGCCTCACCCTCCCTGAGGAGTGATGGAGTAGGATAGGGGGTTGGTGGGGAGAATTGGAGGATGGGAGGAAGTGGGAACTGGGATCAGTATGTAAGATAAGGTTGTTTTTAATTTAAATAAAATTAATAAGAAAGAGTAGGTTTCAGCCGGGCGGTGGTGGCGCACGCCTTTAATCCCAGGCAGAGGCAGGCGGATCTCTGTGAGTTCGAGGCCAGGCTGGACCGACAGCCTCCAAAACAATACAGAGAAACCCTGTCTGGTAAAATCCAAAAAAAAAAAAAAAAAAAAAAAAAAAGAAAGAAAGAAAGAATAGGCTTCATTTCACTTTGACTTCTTCTCACTTGAGACCCAGAGCAACAGAGGCATTTGTAAATGGTCTGCCTGATCTACTTATTGCCCCACACATGCTCATACCCCCATTCACAAGGAGGCCATAAAAAACAAACAATTGAACCCTATGGGGTGATGCATCTTAAACTCGCTCTCTTAATGCTTTCTGTGGCAAGTGGCTCTGGTGATTAAGGGAAGTGAAATAGGGAACTTGTAAATGCAGTTAGTGTTGCAGGTACACGACGCATGCCTGTGTGTGTACATACATGTATGTTGCTTAGGGCTGAAAGGAATAGCAAAGGCAAAGGATCAAGTCTGGAGTCTTCTCTTGTATGTGTTTTGCCGCATTTCCAGAGAACAGTTCTGAGTGTGGATTCCTCTGTATGGCCTATCCTACTGAGGCAGCATGTCTCACAATGAATATCACTTTCTTTACCACCATGGGCTTGGTGGGAAAATGCAAAGGGAGTAAACATTAACCCTATGCCAGTGCCTGTTTATGGATCCTGTGTTGTGACATCAGTCTCCTGGGGATAAAGCATTGAAGTTGTGTTACTCATGGGCTGTGTTCCAGTATGGGAAAGCGATCCTCCCACAGTCTTCACATCCATGCAATTCTTTTGAAAAAGCAGCATGAAGAAATTTCTATGGTACCAACTAGGCTGGGCAATGGATGCCCTGGGCTCATGGGTGGGATGACTTATTCTATTCTGGATGATCTTGGGCCACACTTGTCACGGTAACTACCAAACCAACTCTCTGTCAGTAGTTAGAAGGAACTTCCTTGGAAACCTGAGCATCAGTTTATTTCCAATATCAAATTTACAGATAAGCACTAAGTAGGGTAAAGCTTCCACACTCACATGTTTCCTCAAATGTTTGTCGCAAGTGTCTTCTGACCTATAAGGAAACAAAACTGCATTTAAAGGAACAAAATAGAATGAGTGAATTTAAAGTTTTATGTTATAATTGCATTTTAATCTTTTTCTAAAAGTGGTCTTTTAAATTTAAAGAAGCAAAAATGAAAGAAAAACATGCTTTAAAAAAGATTAGCTAAACAACAGGTTAATTTCTTAAAAATTGACTTGGGATGGATGGTGGTTGTGCACTCCTTTAATCCTAGCACTCAGGAGGCAGAGGCAGGTGGCTCTCAATGAGTTTGAGACCAGCCTGGTCAACAAAACAAGTTCCAGAACAGCTAGGGATGTTACACAGAGAACCCTGGCTCCAAAAATAAACAAACAACAAATTGAACTGAGGACACCATTAACACAGTAACCTCATTAATTATCTTCCAAAATAAAGTATTTAGCTTTAAAAATCTATCCCAATAAATACATTTAAAATGTTAAGGCTGTTTTAAAAATTTTTAACATTATCTTGTCATGAAGTGATTAACCTTTTTCTTGACAACTAGCAATTTTTAATAGAGTAGGTTATCTTACACCAATATTAATAGAAATATCTTATCTTGGAAAAACTATGTATATTTTAAGTGAATGTCTTTGCTATTTGGTAGGACTGTTTGGACATTAACCATGTACCACTTGAGGATTTGTTAATTATTAAAATTACTAAAAAGTCAAAATTCTATAATTGTTATGACTTTAGAATAGCTCCATTCCAGATGTTTACATGCATCTTTTTTTAAACCTTCTCAAAATAAATAAAATAGAAGCAGCAAGATAACTGGGTGGGTAAAGGTCCTTGCTGCCCATACTGGTGATCTAACTTCAATCCCTGCGACTCACATGGTAGAAGGTGAGAACCAAGTCTTAAATGTTGTCCTCTGACCTCCATCTGTGTGCCATGGCATGGGGACCCACACATATACACCCAGTAAGGAAATAAACAAATAAATTTAATAAGCCTTAAACAAACAAAACCAAAACAACCCTTGTCTTTAGTATTTTCCCTAGTTGTTGCCTAGGAGTAGGGGTAGGCAGGTTGTACTGTATTATCTGTCAGATGTGCCTTCTTTAGAGAGAATGCCCATGCTACATTTAAAAAATAAGTGAGAAGCATGTCTTAAACTTCTCTGTATTTACTTCATGGTCCTCCATATAGCAAGTATACAGTGCCCCTTTATAGACCGATGGGGCCAGCCACCCATATGGGGCTCATATAACACACATGGGCATTCCAGCCTGGGGGGGAACATGTAAGAAGCTGCAAGGCAACATTCTTTAGAGAGAGAAAAGTTGGCGTCGTTGGGAGGCTGAGTCTATTCTAACCCTGGCTTACATTTTAAGATTAAGAGAACAGATTCAAATTTGGTATGAACTTTTACGTCTGATATGAAGAAAAAGAGAGAGAAATTCCTTGGACAGAATGTGTAAAATAAGAATGGCCTTTAGCTGCCTGATGCAGAACATTTGGAGAATGCTGGAGCAACTGCAGACTTTCAAAAGGAGGAAATTCCACTTGACTGACCTGCCAGACTGGGTTTTCTCAAAAAACATGAGCAGCAGGCAGTTGTGAATGCCATCACCCAAATGCCAAAGGCTCACGAACTCTGACCCTAAGGCTTATACTGGTTTCTTGTGTTTTAATTAATTTTACATCTGGACAGATGTTTTTGGAAATTGACTTTTCTTCCTGCTTTTTTTCTTTTTTCAGTTGGTCAAGGCCCACAGACTTCTATGAAGCCATGCCCTTACAATATTCATTTGGTTTCTCTCTGTCCCCTCTAAGGTTATAGGTTTCTGGGTCAAAATCAAAACTAGTAAAAATCCTTTTATTTTCTTTAACTTGAGTTTCCCGTAACTTAAGTCTGGTCTCGGTGTTTATCTAACTTTACCTCTTGCAAACATGAAGAGAAATCTCTAATGTGGATAAAGCCTGACCTTAAACATGAGAGTGGGTGAAATTATTCCTTAGCATAAATTAAAGGGTCATGTGTACATATAAAAACTTGGAGAAAACATACTAAAATTAATCAAGGTAATAGGTACTTAATTTAAATTTTGTGTTTGTATGTTTTAAGATACATGACTAGTTGTGATAAGATTAAGAACCTCCCCTTGACCTAAGAGAGATATGCATGGTACCCCGGAGAAGAGGAATGAGGCAAGATCTTCTGAACAGATTGGCAACACTGTGAGGGGAGGGGGGGAGTGGGAGCTGGGAAGAAGAGAGGGGGAGAAGAGGAAGAGAGAGTAGGTCATGGGGGAACAGGAAGGTTGAGTGGGGGGTAGAATAGGAGGAAGAGGGAATCATAGATTAGAAGACAGATCTGGCACCAGTGAGACCTCTAGTGATCTAAAGGGATGACACCAACTGGCAAGCTAAGCAATAGTGGAGAGACCACTTTAAATGCCCATTCCTGATAATGAACTTGATGTCTATAACCATCCTGGAGCCTTCATCCAGTGACTGATGGAAGCAGAGGCAAACACCCACAGTTAAACACTGAACTGAACCCATGGAACCCAGTGACAGAGAGAGAGGAGCGATGAGCAAATTGGCAAAGAATGGTCTGGCAAAACCAGCAGAGACAGCTGATATGAACAAGGGGGGGAGCTCTTGGACCCCAGACTGACAGCTGGGAAGCCATCATGGGACTGATCCAGACCCCCTGAGTGTAAGAGTCAGTGAGGAGGCCTGGGCAACCTATGGGGCCCTGAGCAGTGGATCAGTGTTTATCCCTGGAATACAAACAGACATCGTGTGCCCATAACACAAAGAGGGATGCTCTCTCAGCCTGGACTCTTAGGGGAGTGCCTTGACCCTACCCTGAGTGAAATGACAGACTCTAGATATCCCCTATGTGGAAGGAAGTGGCGATAGGGTGGGAGGCTGGGGGGGAGGGTGGGCCGGTGCAGGAGGAGGGAAGGGAGAGGGAACTGGGATTGACATGTGAAGCAAGCTATTTAAAATTAAAATAATAAAATAAAAAAAGAACCTCCCCTTGTATTTAGGCTGGGCAAGGCATCTAGTATAAAGAATACAGGTTCCCCTGAGCCAGACAACACATTAGGGATAGCCTGTTCTCATTGCTAGAATGACAGATAGACCAAGATAAACAACTATCACATGTATGTAGAAGGCCTAGGTTAGTCCCATAGAGGCTCCCTGTTGTTGGTTCAGATTCTGTGAGCTCCTATGAGCCAGATTAGTCACGTCTGTGAGTTTTCTTGTTCCTTGACCTCTCTGGCTCCTACAGTCTTAGATGACTGGAAGGTGGGTGCCTTTCAGGGTCAGGTAGATGTGAAGGGAAAACAGATGGAACTCCCACAAATCTACAAGGATGACCCCAGCTAAGATTCCTAGCTATAGGAAATACGTAGCCTGAACTGGCCATCTCCTGCTATCAGATAGGTGACTACCCCAGTTGTTACCAGAGAGACCTCAACCAGTGACTGATGGAAACAGATACAAAGACCCACAGCCAGACATTAGGCTGAGCTCAGGGAATCCTGCTGAAGAGAGGGAGCAAGGATTGTAGGAGCCAAAGGGGTCAAGGAATGTTGTGTTTATTTTTACTATGAGTTGCAATGTATTTAAATGTGTATTCCAAACTACAAATGAGGGCTGGGACTATGTACTAGGCTTTGCTGTTTTGCTCAGAGCTCCCATTAAAACCTTGCACATCAAAGTACTTCTCAACAAATACTATTGAGCTAATCTAACATACCCCTCTTTTTCACCCTAGGGTGAGCCAGGTCCTCCTGGTCCTTTTGGTCCCCCAGGAGCCCCTGGCATTGGACAACAAGGAGTGAAGGTAAAGATATTTGCTTCTTTGTCCATAGATAAGTATTTGGGCTGAGAAAGTGAAGTGTAAAGGCTGTGCATTTTCTGTAGCAGTTACATACATTTTTGTTCTTTGGACACTGTAGCCTCATGGTCTCAGATAGTTATCATAGAATAATCAAGATATGTTTTGATTTCATTGGAATGAAATCAAATGTCTCCAAATGTCCCGTCTCTCACAATGCACATGTGGTTCTGTTGGGTTTCTTGGACTTTAAACACTAAAGTGCAAATATACTATTGGGAAGTGTAACATCTTAAAATGTAAACTGTCACCTTGCTCACATTACAAAAGCAAAACCTACAGGCCCAATACACAGAGTGGATAAATTCTGGCAGGAAGATTTGTAAGGATCTGCAAAGGTAGAGAGGAGCATCCTGGGATGCTCCGTGTCACACAGAATATCAAGAGAGACAAGCTATACACTGATTTAAGTGGACATCATGGTCCAGACAATTACACATTAATACAGACCTGAAAGGGAGTAGTTCTACTCAGTATGCTTAGAAGGCAGTCAAGTGCCTCCATGCACAACATTTCAGCGATAACAACATAGAGGCTCCAGGGAAGGTACAACTTATGTGGCAAAGTTACTGGAGAAAGATACTTTGGAAGGAAATCAGTGTGAAACAGTTTAAGAGGAGGTGAAATGGATAGCATGGGGACAAGGAATGGTGGCGTTTTGGGATAGTGGCAGGGAACAGTGTACATCTTATCTTGGCCAGCTCAGAAACAGTTGCAACTCCTCTACTCTACTGCTACACTATCACTTGTAAGTGCTGAAGATACTGGAGATGCTGGGTTGCATTTAGACAAGAGCTGGTGAACATTTTAGGGCAATTTGTTTGTTTCAATTCACATTGAAGCCAGTTAATCTCCTCTAAATATTATTTTTTGTTGTTGTTCTTGGATATGAAAAATTGGGCTATTTTGCGATTTATCCCTGTTGAAATAGCCAGAACTTTTTTTTTTTTTTGGTTTTTACAAGACAGGGTTTCACTGTATTGTTTTGGAGGCTGTCGGTCCAGTCTGGCCTCGAACTCACAGAGATCCTCCTGCTTCTGCCTCCCGAGTGCTGGATTAAAGGCGTGCGCCACCATCGCCCGGCAGCCAGAACATTTTGTATCATCTTACTATTTATTTAAAAACTCACCATGTAATTCTCCTCTTCCTGTCTCAGGGAGAAAGGGGTCAGGAAGGAAGAACAGGGGCTCCAGGACCGATTGGAGTTGGTGAACCCGGACAGCCAGTAAGTAGCCAACAAATGGGAAAATATAATTCTATGTGTTTGTTCTGGCAAAAATAAATGCACAAGTGACTCTACTCTGTATGTTTTTATGTTAAAAGGTACATTGATGATAGAAGTATGTAAGAACCAAATCTACATTACTTTTCATGCTTGAAATAGGCTACATGCATAGTGTGGTAGCTTGAATGTAGTTGGCCCCCATAATCTCTCTCTCTTTTTTTTTTTTTACATTTTTTATTTCTATTAGAAACAAGCTTCTTTTACATGCCAATCCTAGTTCTCTCTCCCTCCTCTCCCCCATAGTATCTTAGGGAGTGGCACAATTAGAAGATATGGCTTTGTTGGACTGGTTATGGCCTTGTTGGAGGAAGTGTGTCACTGTAGAGGCAGGCTTTGAGGTTTCCTATGCTTAGGGTACCTCCCAGTGTCTCACTTGACTTCCTGTTGCCTGCAAGATGCAGGTCGCTCAACTACCTCACCAGTGCAATGTCTGCCTGCAACATCACCATGCTCCCCATCATGGTGATCATGGACTGAACTCTGAAATCGTAAGAGAGCTAGCCCCGTACAGTTTTATGTTATAAAAGTTGCTGTGGTCATGGTGTCTCTTCACAGCATGTATGTGTGATCTTTTCAACTGGTCTTTTCTCATTGTAATCTCTTGTAAGATTAATCAGTTTGGCAAAGAAAAAGAGTTCTCACATGTCAAAGGTTCCTAGGAGGTGACAGATCAGGATTAAGGCCTGATGGTGGTTGACATCACTGTAGTCCTGAGAACATTGGGGCCTGGAATGAGGCTGAGGATCTTCTCATTATGTAATCCTTGAGAATGCTCTAAAGTTAGGATTAGTGATGGGACAAAGATAAAGCCTGTGTTATTCACAGCTTCCACCTTATGTAGCTTTGAAGTTTGCTATTGTTGGAAAAGGAAAAAAGGGTTCTGTCAAGAGAGATCTGAAGAGGAAATGAATAAAACATGACTCTTCTGTTATGAAGTTCTTCATAACTTTTCAAGTAATCTTTATTCTCAGCAAAGAGCTGTAGCTGACTCACTAAGATGGAGGCAAAGGCAGCTAGCCACAGAAGTAGCCTCCCTGTGTGGCTTTGTGACGCATATTGCTTTATGTAATCACCAATAGAAACATGTTTCTTTGTAGTGCCTGTGAATGAAATAGCAGTATATTGTCTGAGGGTTTGTGTTACATGAGTGTGTGTGTGTGTGTGTGTGAGTGTGTGTGTGTGTGTGTGTGTGTGTGTGTAGGCATGCATGTTGGGGGTGGACACTCATGTGCCATGGCATACATACGAGTCAGTTCTTTACATTCTTCGTGGGTTCTAGGAATTGAACTCTATTTGTCTGACAGCAGCAATCTTCTTTACCTATTAAGCCTTCTCCCTGGCCCCTAGGTTCTTCTTTTTGGGGGATGGGGTGGGAGGGGATTGAGACAGGGTTACTCTGTGTAGCCCTGGCTGTCCTAGAATTTGCTGTGGAAACGAGGCTGGACTTGAATGCACAGAGATTCACCTACCTTCTGAGTGATGGGATTAAAGGCATGTACCACCGCTACCCAGTGACACCTATCTTCTTTTCTTATTTAACATTTTTTAAATTTAATCCTTTCTCATTTTACATACCGATCCCAGTTCCCACTCCCTCCTCTCCTCTCTCTCACCACCTTCCCCTATCCACCTCCCACCCACTCCTCAGAGAGGCTAAGGCTTCCCATGGGAGTCAATGATGTCTGGCACATCATTTCCAGGCAGGACCAAGGCCCCGCCCCCTATATCTAGGCTGAGCAAGGTTTCCCTCCAAAGAGAATGGGCTCCAAAAAGACAGTTCAACCCCCAGCGATAAATCCTGGTCCCACTGCCAGTGGCCTCACAGACTGCTTAAGCCACACAACTGTTTCCCATGTTCACAGGACCTAGTTTGGTCCTATGCATGTTCTCCAGTTGTCAGTTTGGAGTCAGTGAGCTCCCACTAGCTCAGGTCAGCTGTTTCTGTGGGTCTCCCCAAAATGGTCTTGACCTATTTGCTCATATTATTGTTCCTCCCTCTCTTTGACTGGACTCTGGGAGCTCGGCCCACTACTTAGCTGTGGATCTCTGCATCTGCTTCCATCAGTTGCTGGGTGAAGGTTCCCCAATGATAATTCAGTAGTCATTAATCTGATTGCAGAGAAAGACCAGTTCAGGTACCCTCTCCATTGATGCTTAGGGTCTTAGTTGGGGTCATCCTCATGTATTCCTGGGAATTTCCATAGTGCCTGGTTTCTCACTAGCCCCATAAAGACTTCCTCAGTCAAGATATCTCTTTCATAGTATGTACTCACTCATAAGTGGATAATAGACATAAAGCAAAGGATAACTAGCGTATAGCTCATGACCCCAGAGAATCTAGGTAACAAGGAGAACCTAAGAGGGACATACACGTATCCCCCTCAGAAAGGGAAATAGACAAGATCTCCTGAGAAAATTGGGAGCATAATGGGGTGGTGGTGGAAAGCAGAAGGCGAGGGGAGGGGAGGAAGATGGGGGAGGGAGAGGAGAACATGAGGGAACTGGACTGTGGAGATAGGAGAAGGACATAGAGGGAGAACAAAGAAAGAGATATCTTTATCCAAATGTCTTAACAGTGATGGAAATCTGCATTACATGTTAATTCCACTGTCTACCATTAGCAATTGTGCCCTTTGAAATGTCTGCAGTCTGTTTACAATTTCTTAGTAATTTATCCTTTATCCAGCCACACTATACCTTGACTGCAAATGAAGGCTTATGCTTCTTGCAACAATCCTACCTTTGCCTCTTTAGCACTGGCCACAGAAGTCCATCTGCTCTTCCCTTGTGGCCAAGGCAGAAATGGCTACAGGGTCATCTAAGTCTATGTAGGCTGACACAAACTATTTCAAATAGCCCTGGCCAAGGCTGTGTCTTCAAGACCCAGGGGGATCACTGTGTAATTCTCTCAAGATGCCCATAAGTGATGGCTGTGGTGGCATAAGGATTGTAAGTTCGGCTACTTGATTGACAGTCCATTTTTTTTTCTGGGAAGCCAGAGCAGCAAGGGAGTCCAACGTTTGCTAATTAGAGAGTCTGACTGCCCCAGCCCTCAAGTGATTTGCTCATTTAAGGGAAATGATCATCAGGAGTGCTTAAGAACTTAAAGAAGTTCTCATTTACTCTAATAGTGATTTAACTGCTTCAACAGTCCCTAACACCTGCCCAGTGCCTCAGGGAGTGGAAAATCCTCTTCTCCAGTTTTCTGGGCTATGGAAGCAGCTTATACAGGCCTATACAGAGTGTACCTCTAATTTTTGAGCCCTGAGATGTTTGCTGTTTCTCTGGGCTCAGATATGCCTTTATGATTCTTGTCTGTCTGTTTTGTAGCTAGGACACTTTCACAGTGTTGTCAGAACATGCAATTCTTGTTTTCAATGCTACAGCTATGCGAATTATGCTGACACTGTGATGGTTTGTGATTTAATTGGAAAGGAAGTTGATAACAAAGGTGAGGAAAAGCCCAGCACAAAAATGTTGTGTGAAATGTCATCATCATCATCATCATCTTCATCATAGTAAAATCAACTGTGTAAATTTTGTAATTATTTAGAAGGAGCAAGAAAATTGGGGAGGATTCTGCTGAAATCGCTTTGCTTTTGCCTCTTTGCCTGATGGTTTCTGGTGACCTCAGGGTTAGGACTACTCTTGGTGTCACAGTAATGTAAGTGTGTTGATAGTCGAAGTTGTTAAGAGAAGCTTTTTCTTTGCTAGCCGCTTTGGTTTATCTCCCGCCAGTTGCCTGGGCTCTGCCGCTTTGTAGTCCCCAAATAAACACAGAAGACGCTGTATTAATTATGAAGCTGTTGGCCTTGCTTGTTTCTTACTAGCTAGCTCTGACTTAAGTAATTACCCCATAATTGTTAATCTAAGTATGTTTCTTACCGGAGAATAGTTCCAGGCTTCCTACCCCCATGGCGTTACATGTTGACTCCCTGTGTTTCTCCTTCCCAGAGTTCTCCTGGACTCCTAGTCCCTCCTATCTTGGTTCCCTATAGGCTCAACAGTACTTTATTGACAAATGCACAGGACTTCCCCCAACACGAAGTAGCATTTGAGCTCCAATATCTAACTCTGAACTGTTAGATATTGTCTCTAGAGTGGTGCTTATCTGGTACCTATAACTAATTCATAAAAAGTAAATCGGCCAAGAGTCTCCAGGAAATTCCTCTGTGTATGCAAGGTTATGCAGGGTACTTTCAATAAAAAGTATTCTCTGAAGTAGAACTCTAATTATTTTGAGGTTAAAAATAAAATAGTTGACACGGTTTGAAGATAACGGCCAATTTTTGCTATGCATTAGCACATTTACCTCTAATGCCTGATTTTATTAAGGGAAGAAATACTATAAATACAATGAGTAATCATATTTTATTTCATTGTTAATGTAGCCATAAAGATTTCACTGATGAGACTGTACTAATTACGTTCCTGCATTATACATATATTTGGTAAAGTCTGTTGTAGTTGTAATCGCTTCTCATAGCTTTTACAAAAGACAGTGAGATTATTTATGTAAGCCTTTCTGTCTTTAAAAGGTGATACACAGGTCTGAGGATGTAGTAGTTCAGTGGATAGAATGCTTGCCTAACATACAGAAGGCTCTGGGTTCAATTCCTAGCACTACATAAACTCACGGTGGTGGTTCAGGCTGTATCTCAGGACTCAGGAGCTAAAGGCAGGAGGATCAAGAGTTCAGGGTCATCCCCTGTTACAGGATTTCCAGGTGGGTCTGGGCTACATGAGATCTGATCTAAACAAATACATACACAAATTAAAGTCAAAAAATAAAAACGAACTCTTACATTAGTTTTGGGGAGATCATAAGCATGGGGGGGTTGAGGACTGAGAACTGAATGTAATTGGGTGCATTATGTGAAATTTCCATACTATCAATAAAATTTACGCTAAAAATTAAAAATAAAGCTGGTGCTTGACCATTTGCAAATATACATTTTTGTAAAATGGTAGTTTGCAGTGCCTAAAAAATTGAGAGAATCATTCTTCTAGTTCAAGTGCCTGCTATTTCTCTTCTCTAGTTAATACCCACCTTCCTCCATTTCTCCTTAGCTGAAGAACCTGAGAGCACACTAAATGGTATGGAATGTTACTCCGGCTTGTGGTGATTAAGCCTTGGATCACTGGTTTTGAAATCACTTAACCTTGTACCCATGAGCACCAGCTCTGTCCTCAGGGCATGGAAACAAGAATTACATGGAGTGCCAAGACTCTTGCTTTCACCTCAGCTGACATGTTCTAGAAATGCAGAGAAGGAAGGAAGGGGGCTGGTGTTGGTTCTGTTCAGTGAGCCTCTCTCCACACTGTTCAGTGTAAGACAATCCTCCAGAGACTGGATTACGTGCAGGCTTCCAGAAAAAGACCAGAGTAGCAGTTAAGGGACTCAAATCCATGTCTTCTTATCAACCCTAGCAAGTGTGTATTGGGTAATTAAAACTTAGGACAGCATTTAGCCCACAGCTGTTATATGTAGTACAACTTACTGTTGTATTTCAATCTAAAAGTCACTGAAATCAGTTTTAGTTATCATAAAAGACTATTTACTTCCCAAGACCAGGAGTGGGTGTGTCTGCTATTCCTAGACCCTCAGTACTTTACCTACCGGGTATTCAATGTATTAGCATTCTGTTGCTGTGCTAAAATGCTGTTACTGGAGAAGCTTGGTAGTGGTAGGGGTGGGAGTATTTCAGCTTACAGGTTATAGTCCATCACTGAGGGAAGCCATCCGTGGTGTAACCCCAGGAACTGATGCAGAGGCCATGGAGGGAGAGCATCTTACTCATTTGCTGCCCATGTATTGCTCAGAGTGCTTTCTTACACAACTTAGGACTACCTGCCCAGTGTTAGTACCACCCATAGTGGTCAGGTCACCCATTCATATCAATAATTAGTCAAGAATAAATACTCCACAAACATTCCCACAGTCCAGTCTGGTGGAGGCAATCCCCTGTTTGCAGTTTCTCTGCATAAGTGACTCTACTTTGTATCAAGTTGACAAAAATTAAGCCAACACAATTGACCCCTTGTCAACTTGACACACAAATACCACTGCAAACCTCTGCAGCAGAGGCATAAGAATTGAAAGGGTTGTGGGGATCACCTGAGGCCTGGCACCATGAGGCAGGGTTGGAGTTCCTGAGGTTAGGAGGTGATTGGTAAAAGTCCAGCTTCAGTTACTATGGAAGACTCATGCTATTGAATGATCATGAAAGAGGCTGAGGCTTGGTACATGGTAGCAGGGTTAGGGTTCCTGAAAAGGCCTGGAAAGACCATTCGTGGACGAGGAAGCCTCAGTTACAGTGGAGACCCTTGCATATGGGAGAAGACAGGACAGTGAAATGACCACTAAAGACAGTGACAGATGCCGAGTGGAGCTGGCCTGAGCCCAAGAGTCCTTTGGAGTTCCGAAGATCACGAGTTACAAATATCACACATTGATCTACAGGATTTGAACTATACTGCTAAACTTGGGTTTTGCTGTGATCTGATTGTAATAATAATAGTATGTAACTTTCTTTGGATTTTAGAGGAGTCCACAGATTAAAGATTTTTGAGTTCTAAATAGAACATGGACTTTTGAAGTGTTGGAAACTATGAAGATTAGGAATTTTAAACTTTGAGGCTGTTTTATATTTTGTTATTAGCATGAGCTCTTGAGAACAAACAATAAATGAAAGGATATGATTATAGATGCAGAGTTGACAAGGAGTCAGTTGTATTGCTTAATTTTTGGCAACTTGACCCACACTAGAGTCATCTAGGAAAAAGGAACCTCAGTCGAGGGGCTTTTCCCATTAGATCAGCCTGTGGGCTGGCCTGTGGGGGCATTTCCCTAGCTGTTGATTGATGTGGGAGCACCCACACTACTGTGGGCGGTGCCATCCCTACTCAGATGCATCTAAGCCACATAAGAAAGCCAGTAAGCGCCATGGTTCCTGCTTCAGCTCCCGCCTTCAGGTTCCTCCTTGAGCTGACACCAGACACCATAGCTTTCCTCGATGATGGGCTGTGATTTTCAAGTCAAATAAACCCTTTCCTCTCCAGGTTGCTTTTTGAAATGGTGGTTTATCACACCAGTAGAGAAGCAAACTATTAAATTTGGTGACTGTTTGTTGAATGAATAAGTGAACTCAATACAAATGTTCCTCTTATTTAATGTAGTTTTGTTTTTCATGTGTTTTATCATTAGTGCTTTTGTTGTTAAATTGTGTAATATTAGTTTGGAACTTCTCAGTTTAGCTTGCAAGGCAGTTTTTATGCTCATTTTAATTTTTTCTCTAATTAATTGCTTGCCCATTAGAGTAAACTGTCATAGATATTAGACTTTTGATTAAGGTTTTAGGTTAAAAGATAGCTTTCCCATAAGCATTGCAATTTAAATTAAATTCTATGTTAGCTTGTTCTTTTAATTAAGTCTTTACTAAGTAGGCTATGCATAAATAACAAAGACCAACATTTAAAATATGAGATATTTAAAAAAGCAAACAAAAATGTGTTAAAGACCAGATAAAATAGGTTTATTTTGGTTTTTGAGACAGGGTCTCTCTAATGTAGTCCTGGCTATACAGACAGGGCTGGTCTTGAACTCATAAAGCTCCACCTGCCTCAGTCTTCCAAGTTCTGGGGTTTAGGGCATGCACCATCAATCACGGCTTGTTAATCATTTTCTTGCATGAGGATGTGTGACGCATATCACGCTGAGTCCTGCCCCGCCACCACTCTTGTGAAGAAAGCATCTCTAAAGATTTTGGCATGTGTGCAGGCGGCCTGAGCTCCAGTCTCATAACTGTCCATCAATTCCTTTACCCTCTCGTCATCTCCTCAGTGCCCCAAACCAGGAATATTTTAATTTTTATTCATTTTTATCTATACTGGCTTTTGTCTGCATGTGTATCTGTGAACCATATGTATGTCTGATATCCAAAGAGGCCAGAAGAGAGTGCTGGATCTCTTGGAACAGGAGTTACAGACAGTTGTGAGACACCACGTGGATGCTGGTAATCAAATCAGGTCCTCTGGAAGAGAAGCTCTTGACATCTGACCATCTCTTATCCCTCAAGATAGTTTTCAATGGTTAAAAAGATTCCCTCCTCTTGGGAGATGGGGAGATGAATAGAAAAGGGGAAATTGTTGGAACAGAACTTCAGCTATTTCCTCTAATAGATGGATTGAAAGGGTCAAGGGAGTTGACCTGTGATAGTAGTCTACTGAACTGCCAGCAAGCTTCAAAGCCAGTACGCTGCCCCACAATGATGCACATCTGTGACCTCTGTACTGTTGGTGTGGAGACAGGTAGATCCTGAGGCTCACTGGCTAGCCAGTGTAGACAGAAACAACCAGCTCCAGGTTCAGTGAGACATCACATCTCAGAAAGTAAGGCGAGAGCTGAAGAGATGGCTCAACAGTTAAGAGCATGCATTGCTCTTGTGGGGACTCAAGTTCAAATCACAGCACCCATGTCAGATGGTATCACAACTACCTGTGACTCCACTTTCAGGACACACACACACACACACACACACACACACACTCACACACACTCATGCGCACATGCACACAGTGAAACAAAATGCCTAGTTTTGATGCAAACCCGTGTTGTCTTTCGGGTTCCCATGAGTGGGTTTTCTGGCAACCTACTTTGCACTGCTTTGATTTCTGTTTGAGAAGCCCTTACTTCTCCTGGTGCCTTTCTGAGAGAAGCTATGAGGACTTCTTAAAACCACTGGGACTAAACACAATGTTCCCCCATTAGTGATCTTAGGAAGATACAGAATTTATGCACAAAGTTGTCTGTGAGTTCTCCCAGCTCCAAAACTAACTCGAGTTTGTCAGGTCACAAAATGGGAACAGAAGTCATGCTTCTCATAGGCCTGGGAGAGTTTCTCCTAGGCTCTCCTGAATTTACTCAAATGAGTAAGTGTCTCTGTCCTGCTGAATTCTTTGTCTCACAGGATGTGTTTCCTTACCCTTATTCAGAGCATTACTTATTTCCACTTTCTTCTAATTTGAAGTCAGTGAGAAGCTCGTAGACCTTACAGAGAGAAGGAATATTGAATCAAGTGAGGATCCTCTTACTCACAAGTCCTCACAGCTTTCCGTGTGGATCGCACTAGAAGGATTCTTACTAAAAACGGAGCAGGACTACGTCATCGCCGTGTCTGTGGGAATGGAAATTAACCACTTCCGGGTGTTTTTCTCCCATCTTACCACGGCCCATTCTCACCCCTGTTCTCTTCCCCACTTTCTCCCACCCTAACCAGGGTCCCCGTGGTCCCGAGGGAGCGACAGGAGAGAGGGGCCCACCAGGAGAAGGATTTCCAGGACCGAAGGTAACAACAGCTTCTGAACCACTGGAAAACGTACTTTGTCTTATATAGCCATGAATTACAATCGGTGGGAAGCCAAGTGTTCTCCTGGCCATTTTCACCCTACTAAGTAAAAGAATATGCAAATTTCTCCATAACATGGAAGCACATAAGCATGAAATTTCTAATTACAAAGTAAATAATCAACAGACTTGCAATTTGTGTAATTACTGTGTATTAATTAGAAAATTATCTTAGTTTATAGGCACTAAAGCTACATGCATTTGTTTTGGTCCAGAAGTTAGATTACTGAGTGTAGCTATGGCAACCCTTGGATCACAGCTTTGTTTTACTAAACTCAAGTAAGAAAGAGAATCTAACACCCAGTTTTAATAGTATTGCTGTCAGCAACATAAAAAGAAAAATCTCATCACAAAGAAAGAACAAGACATTCTAAAAGACCCTCCTGTTGACCTGGATTTGGGAAAGCAGGCTTCCTACTGCTTCCTGTACCCTTGTTCTTTCTGTAAAGGTCCAAAATAGCAGGTTCTTCAAGCTTCATGAACCCTTGATAACTGTTGCAATGACTCAGCTCTGTTGTAGTCTGAAAATAGCCACAAACAATGTATAAATGATAGCATGTGGCTGACCAATAAAACCATATTAACAGAAGTAGGCAGTGGGGTCTGCTTAGTGGTCTGTGGTTGGCCAACCCCTGGTCTTCAGTTTACAGCTTATCTGCCTAAAGACACATTGAAAATAGTTTTCTAAGGTATTTTGGGCCCTAGCCACAAAATATCAGAATAAGAGACATGTTTGGAATCTTTCTTTATTTCTAAAGTCTCTCTCTGAAACATACATGTTGAATTACATACATAATCCTGAGAGTTGAGAGCTCTCCAAGTGTCTAACAACATCTCACTTGCCATTCTTTTAAGTCAGTGATGTCTGATCTCTCAACTACAGCCGGATGCTCTAAGCATCTTTTTGTTTGTTTGTTTGTTTTTTACGAGACAGGGTTTCTCTGTATTGTTTTTCAGGCTGTGGTTCTGCCTGGCCTCGAACGCACAGAGATCCGCCTGCCTCTGAAGCATCTTATTCTTATACCTCTCTACCATGATCAGTATTAGTACCCATGAGAAACCCACATTTGAAGAGGGGAAAGCAGTGAGCTAAAACAACAGGCATCGAATTGTGAGTGATAGGTGGGCAAAAGTTTTCAAAGTTGTCATTTTTAAAACTGGAATGAATGTGTGGGATACGGTGACAAATGAAAAGCCTTTGACTATCCAAGGAACCATTTTTAAGAAGGCAGATCAAATGCCGTTTACTTCAAAACGTTACATGTAGTTTCTTAAATATTTTTGGTATGTTGTAGATTTCTACTTATGTCTAACTGAAGCAATTTGGAAAATTCGAATAGAATATTTCTCTTTATAGCTCTGTGTGTTAAAGCCAAGGAAGGGATGAGAATATTATGCTAAATACTAAGATATTAGAAAGTACAATATTCCAGGGCATGCCTCAATGGCATATCCGACATATTTTATACTATATAAAGGTGATACAGTGGGAGGCTGGAGAGATTGCTCAGTAATTGAAGAGTACTAGCTGCTCTGCCTGAGGACCCAGGTTTGCTTCCCAGCACTTACATGGTGGTTCATGACCACATGTAACTCCAATTCCAGGAGACCTGATGCCCTCTTCTCACTCTGATGGCATCCAGAATGCTCATGGCACACATACATACAGGCAAATCACCCAAGTATATATCAGCATATATATATTTGATATGCACTCTGGAGTAGTAGTAATAATAACTCAGGGCAGTATTGGCTCCTGACTTATCAAGGAAAGGACACAGGATCCTCAGTGATGCTTTCAGATCAAGTATACATGATTGCATTCTGAGTAAAACTTGGAACACTTGCTGGGTGTTGGTGGTGCACGCCTTTAATCCCAGCACTCGGGAGGCAGAGGCAGGCAGATTTCTGTGAGTTTGAGGCCAGACTGGCGAGTTCCAGGACAGTCTCCAAAACAATAAGAGAAACCCTGTCTCGGGGAAAAAAAAAACAAAAAACAAAAAAAAACTTAGAACATTTTATTTTCCCATCAGGCAGATTAATAGGAGTTTAGATAGGTAGCTAAATTGTAAAGGTGTAGGAAATAAGTAAATTATGGTGTTTGTTGTATTTCTATGTCTGTGATAACATATCCTGATAAAAAGTGACTTACAGGATGGAGCTTATTATAGCTTAGAATTTCAGGTTAGAATAGATCATAGCAAGGAAGTCACTACAGCTGGAGCTGGAGAGAGCTGGTCACATCACATCCACAATCAAGAACAAAGAGAGAATGGATTCACACATATTCTTTTCTTACCTGCACATGCTCAGTTCTATTTCTCCACTCATACAGTTCAGGATCCCCTCCTTAGGGACTGGTGTCACCCACAGTGGGCTGTGTCTTTCCATATCGATTAAGTGACTTAAGGCTAGTCCTCCCAGACATGCCAACAGGAACCCAATGTAGACAATCTTTAGTTGAGACTTTTCCCAGGTGACTCTACATTGTGTCAGGTTGAAAATTAAAGCTAACCAACACACATGGCTGTAGAGAGGAGTGTAGTTATATTTCCCTGTTTCTTAGGAAACAGTCTTAGTGTTTACTCTTGGTTCTAGCAAATGTATTAACTGAATATCACTTCTGATTTATTCATGTGGCTTCTTTTCCCCATAAAGGCACAGGGTAATAAGACTTTATAGATATAACACTAATATCAGGGCAAGCCAGATAGAATATGTTATTATCTATCTTATTCAAGAGTTTCCATAAATCCTTATAACCTTACATTTTTAGTGGAGTTTTAAAAATTCAAACATCGAATCAGTGATCCAGTTCCAACAAGGATTAGTTCACAAGAGAGACAAATTTTCCTTGTCACAATGGATCCATTTTCATCATTAGTAAGGAAGAGGCTTGCTATCATTAGTCACACTCCATGATTGATTGGTTCTCTGATGGTATTGGAACTTAGCTCTTTTTCTGCTTGAGTGGTGCTGTATACGTGCCTTTCCTAGACAGACCCATTCCTGTTTAAATGTTAAAACCAAACCTTTTGAAAATCTCAAATTTAGAATTAGCCATTTTGAACAGTGAGTTTGGATGCTTGATTTAAAAAATTAATCTGACCTATAATTTCCAGTAACCACAATGTAAACTCTTAAGGGTGGGCTAGGGGGAATGTGAGGGAGTGGGGGATGGCGAGAGGTGGGTGGGAGGGAGAACTGTGGTTGGAATGTAAAATGAAATAAAAAGTAGTCTTACTTTTCTTTGTGCACTGATACCTTTCCAATTTGCTTTTAGGGTGAAAAGGGTTCTGAAGGACCAATTGGCCCACAAGGATTGCAGGGCCTGTCAATCAAAGGGGATAAGGTATTGAATATAAATTATATCATGAAAGCCATTATAAAGTAAAATTATTTTTGACATTGCTCTTTATTCATGTGCAATTTGAGTTGCATATAATAAGACAACCATCCCACACAGGTATCTAGGTAATTATAAACTAGCGAGTGTGAGGTATTTTACCATGTAGGATGAATTATAATGTGAAAATTCACATTCTCTATATTTCAAATAATTCTTCACTTATTTGAGTTCTAACTTGCCAGGCACTCTGTAATCAGCAATACCTCTTTGAAACCAGATATTAGCAAAAGATACTTCCTGGCAAACAACACAACTGTTGATGGGGAGAGAAAAGGGAAGGAGAACCGATGCAATTACATTGTGATCTCTAAAATTAAAAAAAGATACTGACTATAACATATCACATGAATATGTATCTATGAATCTGTATATCTGTTCTTACATTCTTGGACTGTTGCTAAAAAATATTACCTTAAAATCAAAAAATATTACCTTAAAAAGAAGCTAGAGTAAGGGAACTTGTTTAAGAAAACTAGCTCTGCTGTCCTTTAGTAGGGATCTTCAGAGCCTGTCTCATGTTAGGCAAAGGTTATTGGGCTATTGCAGTGATGGAGACCCATGCTGTTGGAAGCCAGTCCCAACTTAGAACAAGGATGCAAGAATTTCCATAGAATTTGAGCTTGTGTTGGGAGGTTAGAGGCCCATTCTCAAAAGTACACGCTGGCATTGGATTGGATGCTCTTGGAGGTTGGAGATTGTCTTATGATTATTTTAATGAGTCTCCTCTAGAAGTTGCTGGAAAATAGTGGGTGAGTGGTGAATGGTTAAATTTTTAAAAAGTAGAAGCACTCAATTGTGGACAATATTTGGGATGTCTGACCATTTCCTGAGATTTGAGCATTATTGTTATTGTTATTATCATTAATTTGCATGGGTTCTGACATGATGACAGAATACTCTTGCTTCTCTATGGTCCATAACATTGCCTGGTGTTTGTGGTTTATGAGCTCGTATTCAACCCTGCAGCCCCACTGTCTGGTCCTAACCATCAGAATCTGCTTTATAACTCCTTAGTTATTTGTTTACATTAAAGGGCTTGGTGATTAGGAGTGGAATTGAAGTTGGTGACATAAGATACTAGAAGTTGATCAGACCCTAAAGAGCAGTGGAGAGTGAAAGTTGTCAGAGGGAGAAGAGATAAGATATATGTCGTATGTGTGTGTGGTGTGTGTATACATACACATCATATACATAATTAAAAGGTCATGAATTTTAGAAGGAGTTGACGGCACAAGAGTAGTTGGGAGAGAGAAGGTAGGATAGATACAACATAAATACAACATTCATGTATAAACTTGCAGGAAAAAGATAAAACAGATGTAAAGAAAGATGTATGAAAAACTAGAGTCCTCATGTCAATAATGGGTTATTTATCTGTCATGCTCTAGGCATATCATTATATTACTTATGCTAGAATAACAACTGATAAGATTATCTCAAGTGTTGAATTTCAGTCATGAGTGATATATTCTTTTCTGACAGTATTTAATTAGCAAAAGTAATGATAAACAGTGAGTCATGCAAATTTAGAATCTAATATAATTCTTGGTTCAAATAGCTCAGCTCCAAGTGTAACTACAGCTCTAAAATGCTTCTTTCTTCCTTTGGAGTTGTGAGAACATGGTGGTTGTTGTGAGCTCAGTGTCTTAACCCTCCAAGTGTTACTGTGGGATGGCATTTGTGCTTTTGCATCTGGAGGCTTCTTTGGGGGGAAAGGGTCAGGAAGTTTTTGCTTTATTTTATTTTAAAACAATCTTGTCTCATTTTACATACCAATCTCAGTTCCTGCTCTCTCTCCTCCTCCTGATTCCTCCCACACACACCTTCCCCCAACCCCACCTCCTCTACTCCTCAGAGAGGGTAAGGCTTCCTATTGGGGAGTCAACAAAGTCTGGTACATCACTTGAGGAAGGATCACTATTTCTAGGCTGAGCCAGAGAGAATGGCCTGCAAAAAGCCAGTTCAAATATTAGCAATAAATCCTGGCCCCACTGCCAGTGGTCCCATAGACTGCCTAAGCCACACAACTGTCACCCACATTCTGAGGGCCTAGTCTGGCCCTATGCAGGTTCTCCAGCTGTCAGTCTGGAGTCAGTGAGCTCCCACTAGCTCAGGTGAGCTGTTTCTGTGGATATCCCCAATGCGGTCTTGATTCTTTTGCTCATATTATCACTCCTTCCCCTCTTCACTGGACTCTGGGAGCTCTTCCCAGTGCTCACATCTGGAGTTTATGCAAAGAAAATTTTGAAATATCTGGACACTATCACATAGAAAAGTTCTTATTTGCTGCTCTCTTACAAACCAACTCTGTTCACTTTCTCCTTACTGGTCTTTTCTCTTTTCCTATTAGTTTAAATAAGACATTAGATTCAGAAACTTTTGTGTGTGATTCAGGTGACAATGTAGTACTCCTAACTTAATGCTCACAGATACATAATTGGTTAAAAAAAACAATGTACTTATGACACAGATATTTATTGATTTATTTTCTTTAATAAAATTATTGTGTACATGGTACTGTGTAACATAAAGACATTTTCATTCAGGTATATATTAGATGTTGGGCATATTCCCCTTCCCATAATCCTCCTCTCTCAAGTCCAGGAGTTCCTACATATAGTTGTGCTTCTACTTTCAAGTCAAGATTTTATGTAACACATAAAATCTAAGGCATGAACAAGAGAAAACATACAATATTTGACTTTTGAAGACTATCTTAATTCTCTTTGCATCATTCTCTCCAGTTGTATCCATTTAAAAACATTTATTTGTTTATTAATTACCTGTTGTAGTGGTCAGAGGATACCTTTGTGGATGGAGTTGCTCTTCTCTTTCCACCCTTACCTGGGTTCCAGGGGTCATATTTGGGTCTCCAGGCTTGTATGGCCAGCACCTTTAGTCACTGAATCATCTTGTTGGCCTAGTGGTTTCCATTTTTAACAAGTTGGGGGCTGGAGAGTTGACTCAGCTGTTAAATGGGTGGCACAAAACCAAAAAATGTGTTTTGCAAATGACATAACTTCATTCCTTATGGCTGTTTAAGAGTTCCGTTATGTATGTACACCACATTTTCTTAACCGATTTCTGTGTTGTTAGACATCTAAATTGGTTTCTTGACTTAGCTATTATGAATAGTTCTAGAGCAAACACTGATGACAACATAGACATTAATGTGTAAATTCTGCAAGAAGCTGGTCTTTGCTTTCTTTACTGACTACTTACAGATCATTGGTTTTGAATTGGATTCTGGACTCAGCAGACTTGAAACTAACTACTGTCATCTTGTCATTTTTTAAGGTCGTTTAGGTAGTGGAGACACAGAAAGGAGTTTTAAAGATGATTAAACCAGACAAGACATGACACCCACTGAGTACAGGATCCCTGGGAACCAAGAGATCAAGTTTTGTGTTAGGACAGTCTGTCTCCAAATCCAAACAGGACATATTTTTATTCTAGGGCCTGCCTTGACACAAGTTAATACTCTGATTTATATAAAATCTGATCCAATTATGTAATTTTGTTCATAAAGAGCTAGTTAGCCTAAGTTTCTGCCTGTCTTTTTGAACCAAATGTCATTGGTACACACCTGGTATTTACCTTTGCCCTATGGGTGTTTATATGCTACTAAAGTAGCAACTTTTAGTTACAAAGCAGACCTTATACTGGCTGTCAAACCAAAAAGATTCATTATCCAACCTTTTTAGAAAAGGATTGCAAACTGGGCCTGGAGGAACAGGCCTGTAACTCCAGATACTCTGGAGGCTTAGGTAGGGGGAATCACAGATTAAAGACTAGACCACAGAGTAAGTTCAAGGTTAACAAAAACAATATGGAGAGCACTTAAAATAAAAGGTGTAAAGAAGTCTGGGGGTCTGTTTCAATGACAGAGAATTTGACTCACATGAATCAGGCCTTAGGTCCAATTTTAAGTACCCTGCCAGAAAACATTGGCTCTCCCTGATGTAGTCTAAATATGATTGCCATTAAAACAAGCAAGAAGTGTATTTGTCCATGCTACTCAATGGTATACTTCTCAATAGGTGTACTTTACCTAACTGCAGCACTTACTGACCCCTTCCCTTTTGAAGCCATCTCTTTTCTTGGTCTCTACGGATGCTCTTCTAAGTTCTCATTACTGCTTCATTTCTCTAACCTCTAAAGACTGGCATTCTAGAAGGACTTGCTGCTGATCTTCTCTGTCTCTTGATAAAGTCACCCAGGCATGGCATTGACTATTGTCATTATTTTGAAGGCCCTCAAATTGAAATTCCTAGTTCTGATCTTTCCCACTTAGTGTCTTCACTTAGACATCAGGTTTAGGCTTCTAAAATTTAGCCAGTCTGGAACAGAGCTCCAAGTATCCCTCCCACTTCCAACCTTGCTTCTTTGGTTTCTCTTTCTCAGAGTGGTAGCTCTCTTCCTTCAAAAACCCTGGAGAAATCATGGAATTTTTCCCAATCAGCAGTGAATTCTGTTAGCTTTCCTTCATAAGCAACTTAGGACCTGAGTTCTCTCTCACACACACCCGTTTTTTGAGACGGTCTCACTGTGTAGTCCTTGCTGGTCAAGAATACACTAGGTAGATTAGGCTTATATCCAACTCATTGAGATCCGCCTGCTGCCTGAGTGCTAGAATTAAAGGCCTGTGCCACTATACCTGCCCTCACTGGTAACTTCTGCTTTGTTTTCTTGGAGAAGTTTGGCTTCCTTCATTTTGTTTCTTTTCATTTCTTAATTTTTGACAAGTTATTTGAAAAAATTAGAAATACTGTCCTCCAATTTATTTTTCTCACACTTCATTAATCTTATGCTTTTGAATGTTAGCTGTGTTCCATACAGGAATGTTTATGTTTTTATAATCATATGACTTGAGTTGTGAGAGAAATGGCTGTTAAATGTAAACTGATACAGATTCTAGGTTGTTCTTACATATTCAGGAATATTTATATATGCACATATACATATATAATAACAACAATTAATTTAAAAAAGACGTCATAAATTTGAAGTAAACCAAGGAGAGGTATAGGGAGAGATTTTCTGGGCAGAGTGGGGTGGGGGTAAATGATGTAATTATGTTGTAATTTCAAAAACTAAAATAAAAATTTCATTAAAGATAACAAATTAAATGAAACAGTGAATACATCACTAACTATTTTGGTACATTGGACTATAAGTTGTTTAAAGGTAATGCAGGCTTTGGTTTTTCCATGTTGAATATGTTAAAAGTATAAAGATAGATTTTAATCTAGGTCAATTCCAGATTAGTAAGGTATAGGTGAATAAGGTTTTATCTACTTATATTTTGACAGGGGGATTTGGGACCTGTGGGACCCCAGGGACCAGCGGGTATTCCTGGCATCGGAAGTCAAGGCGAGCAGGTAAGTGGTTCTTGCTTCCTCTTTCTTGGCACAGACATGTCACCCAGTCCTTGTGTTCAGGGAGGACCAGTCCTATGAGCATCTTTGTGCTCATTTAGCAAATGAATTCCAAGGAGTGTAAGTTCAAGGAAAGGATAAAATAGTATCATGAGGAGATTATAACTTTAGGATGTTCAGAGATGCAAAAAACATGAACTATGTGTTTCTTGGTGCTATGACTTCCTATATTAATACCTTATTAATAGGTAAGTGTTCTGTTAACAGTAGCTTGTATTTGTAGTCCCTCTTGGAAGAGAAGTATTTTCTTACCTGCTGGCTTGAGTGTGTTTTCCTCTTTAAAATGACTGTATTCTCGGCTCCTGTACCAACAGAGGTGTGTTTCACCTACCTAAGTATAGCTTTGGTATCTAAGTAAGTACCAAATCAGGGCTGACTAGTTATCTTAATGGCATCCTTCCCCCAAAGAAGCAGAGCATGATTTGTTTGTAAAGGACATGGGCCTCTGGGGTGAGAAGAAAGATGTCTGCATGCTCAGATCTGGAACTGCTTCTTAAATCTCGGAATACTTGGGGAAGTCGGAAAACTGTGTCAAATATAAATGGTCTGAAGCCTGGACATCGGCACTATCCACTGTGGTTCACCCTCTGCTTTTATCTGTGCAGTCTCATTTAATCAAAGCCATCAGCAAATACAGACTTATTGCTCTGGTTAGAGAGTGCCAAATTCATTTGATTAAAATTCATGGCTGCGGTTTGAATTATTATGTTGCCTGGAGAACACATAGTCCTTCCTTGACCTAGAGTAATGATGGGAGAAAAAGGGTTGAAAGCGAAGTAATTCCAAATCTCACTCTAGGCCTGGAATGTTGAGTTTATTCTTAAGAATTGTTTTTACCGTTACTACTACATATTTATTATCCCAAGCAACAGGAAGGCTGGCTACTATTCCTTTTCCCACTTCCTCGCCCTTGGCAGAGTTCCCAGTCTAATGTGTTAGGAGGATTGGGGTGCAGAGAACATCAAGGTCAATCTGTAAATAGTGCTGAGGTAATAAACAGAGCTGGCTATCTGGCTACTGATGAGCCTGGGTTGACTCTCAGGACCTGTAGTTTGTCTGCTGGCTCCTGCGGGGCTACTGTCTGCTCCTGGCATCCTGGCAGGACTGATACATCCTGGGCTTTGTGGTTTGTTGGGGCTGAGATACTAATCTGGGACTGACAATGAGGTTCAAAGACAGTCTGTCCAGATGGTCCGTAGATTCTCAGCCTCCCACCTGTGGCTTCCTGTTCCCTTTAATGCTGGTTCTTAATGGAGACTGTTTCTTTTTTAGTTAAAATTTTAAAAAAATTTGGTTTTGTATGTCCTTTCTTTGCTACAAAAGAAAACAGAAACTCAAAGGCAAAAATGTCTCTACAGGTTGACCCTTAATGGGTAGGAGAATGGAAGTGATTATAAACTTCTCTGTGCACAGAATTCATTTACTTTTAGGAGAAATGGTAAAAGTGCTACTTAAACTTAATCTTTACTTATGCATTCAGTTCTGCTCTTAACTTTCATCTAGCATGTTCTTGTGCAGGACTTCATTCTCCCTATTGCCAGGTCACTCTTGGCCCCTACTTGGCATGCATTTCATCAGCAGGAAAAACTCACATGCCTCTGCTGTGAGTCTGGATCCTTTGGGCTACTACAGGCCATTTTAGATAACCCAGGCAGTAGTCAGAACAGTCCCCCGTGTCTCCTAAACCAAAATCAAAGTATAAGTGGCTTCATTGAACTCCTCCTTCTAGATCAGAGTAAAGAAAGTCTCAACTAAGCCCCTTCCCATTTTCTACAAAGAAAACTCATTGTAATCCAGATAGCTTTCTCCAGAAGGGAAGTTTGCAAGTCTTATGTTCCTCTACCTCATTTTACCTACAGTGCAGCAATGAGTCATGTATTTGAACATGTTTCACTTCCATGTCTGTCAGCTTGCTCTTCAGAGTCCAGATCGTGTCTTTAACATGTCACTGCATCCAACTAGGAAATATGTTTCAGTGCATGTGACAAGAGATGTGAATTGGCTTAGCTTTATGAAATTTCCCTTTTTAGATTGAAAATTGTGAGCTGGGGTAGAGGTTCATCAATGTTGTCAAGGGGCCAGGTATCTTCATTCTTGTTAGTCTGCCTCCCTGGGGAGCTTTCTTCATTCACATGGTACAAGACTACCACATGGCTTGACCACAGGAAGAAGAAAAGAACCTGTGGGCGGCAACCTCTTTGGGGGTTGAATGACCCTTCACAAGGGTTGCCTTAGACTATAGGAAAACACAAGTTTTTACATTATGATTCATAATAGTAGCAGAATTACACTTATGAAGAAGCAATAAAATAATCTTATGGATGGGGTCACCACAACATAAAGAACTGTATTAAAGAGTCACAACATTAGGAAGGTTGAGAACGACTGTTCTAGAATCAATGAGAACTTACATACATTAGTCTAGATTCTGACTGTTCAGATGTGGATAGAGTGATATATGCACACCTGACTCTACTAGGGATGAGGAAGCATGAGTTTTTGTTTTTTGAGACAAGATCTTGTTATATAACAAGAACTCACTATATAGACCTGGCTGATCTCAAAATTATATAGATTGTCTTCTTGTTGCCTCCCGAGAGTGTGCTGGGGTTAAAGGTGTTCACTGGAAGCATGAGATTTATTCCAGGTATTTGTGTGGGCCAACTGAGACTTCTCTTACAATCAAAGGAAAGGATATGCATTGGGGTTTAAACAATAAGGTTTGATTGGACACTTACAGTGGTCTACTCAATAGTTGGTGTGACATCAGTAATTTGTAAAGAGGAGCTATATTTTAACTTTAGAAGACATGAGACTGTCCTCCAAATATCTTAATTTAACTAATGACATTTAAAATTTTTATTCTAAAGGGGATTCAAGGTCCAATTGGTCCACCTGGTCCACAAGGACCCCCAGGACAAGGGTCACCTGGTTCCAAGGTAACTTTCTGGATGATAGAAAAATTTAATACATTTATAGTATAATTATTGATTGTTTATGATTGATGTTTAGTGTCTTTGCAAGAGAACAGATGGAATTAACTTAAAATTCAGAACATTCTATGCCAAGCAACACTGATATTAGAAATGACTTAGAAGGTATAATGCATAACCTTTATTTATATCTTGTTTTTATCTTTAATTATTGAGGCCCTATTCTAGCAAGTAGGCATCAATACAGGCACCGTGGCACTCTGGACTGGTGAATTTGCATTCTTTTTTTTTTTTTTTTTTTTTTGGTTTTACGAGACAGGGTTTCTCTGTTTTGGAGGCTATCGGTCCAGCCTGGCCTCGAACTCACAGAAATCCGCCTGCCTCTGCCTCCCGAGTGCTCGTGCGCCACCAATGCCCGGCTGAACTTGCATTCTTACCAACGTTCCCTCAGTGCTTCAACTTCCAGCACCTAAAAAGACAGAAATGACCTAAATAGCAAAAGTTTTCCTTGAACTTTGGAATCAGATTATCCCTTAATTTGACACTCTTATGCATCGCTTGAGGAAAGGCAGCTATTATAATTAGTGAGCTTCCACACTGCTTCAAGGATCACTATTCATTGTTATGAATAACTAAATGTTACTTCTCATAAGCTCACCTTGGAGCACACATACCAGAAGAAAAACACCATTTCTACCCTTCGGAGTATTGATTTATTTGTTTGTGTATATGTTTATTTGTTCATTTATTTGCCTTTTGGGGTGTGGGGAAGACAAGACATTTCTATATAGATCCAGGTAAGTCTCTAACTTAGGATCTCTTGCGTCTGACTCCCTAGTACTGAGATCACAGGTGTGTGCTGCTGTGGGTCTTGTTGTATTTGGTGCTCATCATTGAGAGTTTAGGTTGTTCTCTGGTTTTGTTTTAGCTCCTAGTCAGAGATCACAGTTCTTTCCATGTTTATGTTTAACCGTTATGTAATGTAACTGTCTATCTTTTCAAGGTGCCCCTACAGGTGTATACCACACGGCTTATAGTTTAAGTCAAACTTACATCAAAAATCCATGTAGCTGAAGGGACTTCATATGTAACTACCAACATGTGTGTGTGCATGCGTGCGTATGTGTGTGTGTGTGTTTGTATGTGTGTGCTGTGAATTAGGTACATAAAATCTCACATTGTTGATGTAAAAAAGCTCTGAGGAGATCAAAGGCAGGAATATGTTACCTTTACTGTGCTTTAATATTAACAACCCTGTCCAATATTCTTTCCTTCCCAGGGAGAAGTAGGCCAGATGGGACCTACAGGACCTAGAGGGCCAATGGGAATAGGGATACAGGGTCCAAAGGTGAGTTCAGTGACTGCTGCTCAGATGCAGCTAGGCAATTTACATAATGCAATGTAAGATTTCCTTCATATCCAAATGCAAGAAAAAGCATGCATATGCCATCTAAATATATATATGTGTGTGTGTGCATATATATGTACATATATGTTTATCTTGTTTCTGTTAACTTCGAAATGTAACTAAGAGGAAAAGTATGATTATTATTTCTTAGTTTTCTTGGTGTGTTGGACAGGGTTGTGTTTGAAAACTCATGCTTCACTTGGGGCAAGGGACCTTGTTCATCTTGTTTGTTATTATATGCCAGTTTTGACAACATGGCGGGCTTTCAAATACTGCTGAAGGGATGAATTACTACTTGATCCAACCTTCACAGGTCTGTTATTCACCATGAAATTATGCAGTTCCTAGTGAGCCACACTGAGTTCTGAACTTCACCATTTTTTGGCTGTCGCTGCCAAGATTGTTATAAACATTCAGGGACTAGAAGAATGCATCAAATGCAAGCTTAACAAAACCATACATATATCACAAAATATAACAGTATATTAATAAAGTAATGAGACTGTCATTCTTACATGGCTTTGATATAATATGTACTATGCTAAGTGCTAAATATGAGGTATATGTGTATATGCAGTGTATAAGTATACTCATGTGAAGTACAATTTACATGTCAATTTAGAAAGACAGTATGTTAAGGAACATCAGCCAGACTGCCTAGGTTTAAATTCCAGTTTTTCCAGTTAATCTTAAGCTTCTCTCCTTTAAAAATAAAATAGTCACTGCATGAGTGTATCTCAGTTCATGTTTCCTCCCTCTCTTGCTTGTGGTGTTTAAGTGGTTCTTCTCTTGCCTTATATTTCCCCAATGCTCACGCCATAAACATGTCATGTTTCCTTATACCCATGCCAGGCTACAGGTTTCCCAGACTTGTAGAAAGCCGAGGTGGCACTGTGAGGTGCCACAGTCTTCCGTTGGGGAGCTGCAGGTGCCCTGTCTCACGTAGACTGCCCTGTCGCTTCTTGGCCACAGTGTATGCTTGTGTCAACTGGAAAGTAGGAGATAGACAAAAATACACTTCATCGTTTTAATTTTTATTCTCTGGGGACCAAAGAAACAGCTTCTTCAGGTGCTCAGTGGACCTTCATCTTCTCTGTTTGTAGATTCCTAAAGATACTCAGGACTTTATGCAATTTTTTTATTATTGGAGTCCTTTATACATCTGGATGTTAACCTTTTGTTGGCTGGGTTACTAGTATCTTCTAGGTTGCAACCGGTGTTTATCCTTTTAGTGTATAGTTTGACATTTTGATGTGTTTCTCTCATTTTATGCGTTACACTTTAAAAATGTTATTTTAAAACTTCTTAAAGTCATGAAATTATTCTCGTGTTTTCTGAAAGTTTTACGCTTTGCTTTTTAAGGTTGCCTTTTTATCCGCGTGGACTTTAGCTTTGTGTGGGGCATCTGTGTGAAGAATCTAGTCTCCTCTGAATCGTTAATGTGTCTGTTTTAGTTGTTGGGAACACCATTTTGCCATGCTGGTTTGCAGTTTACATGTATATGTCCATAGGAATCAGCAACCTAGATCTCTATTCCATCCTAGCATCTATTTGTATTTCTCTGCTCTATTGCCTTCCTATTTTGATCCTTCCAGATTTAAAATACATCATGTCACTGTGGATATAGCTCAGTTAACAGAGTTCTTGCTTTGCATGTGTGAGAACCAAAGTTATCCTTTAAGTTTCAATTACTGTGCCTACGAGATCCATGAAAGAAAACTGCCTTTAACCTGCAAGCTACTTGCCCAAGGACAGATACTTCCTAAAATGCCAGAGGCTGTTGTTTATGGGAGATAACAAGTCACAAGTTTTCACTCCATCCTGAAGCACATACCTGATGTGCTTGATCACATGTTGGTGGGAGGGGGGATGTAGGTGGGCAGGAAATATGTCAGGATAAATGCTTGCCCCAGATTGGACCTGATGGGAAATACAGTGGCTCTATGGGGTTGCCCCCCCTTTTCTTTAAATCTCTGTAAAATGGGACTTACTGCCATTTTCTGGGCACCCAGGAATGGATCTGGGTAGAGCTCACCATCCTGGCCAGTATTTAATTAAAACTGGCTTCATATTTGGCTCCAAGTCATGGTAGCAGTTTTACTGTCGCCCTGTGGGATTAGCACATGTGCAAAGCCCTGGATTCAGTCCCCAGTACTGTATATATTTGTGTGGTAGTGCAAGTCTGCAATCCTAGCACTCAAGAGGAAGCAAGGGGATCAGAAATTCAAGGTCATTCCTGGGGCTGTGCAGCAAGTTAGAGGCCAGCCTGGGATACATGAGAACCTTTCTCAAAACGAAAAAGAAAATCCCATTGTGTAGCAAGAAAAATATTCCTATTATCTTTCTTGCTTATTGTTGATTCTAACACATTTTAGAATTGTCAGATTTAATAAAATATTTCATTGAATCTACAGATCAGCTGTTGAGTTCTTCCAGCTACAGAGTAAGGCTTTCTTACTTTTCAGGAAAATATTTTCATTTTTTTCTATAAAGATCTTCTATCGCATTCTTTTGCTAAGGTCATTCCCAGGCTCCCCAAAGAAATTATGTCAATATGAATTGTTCTCTTTCCAACAGTTCTGATTAACTACTGTAGACCTACTGGAGAAGTACGTGTCTTATTTTCATTTTGGCATGTTGGGTTTTACCCATAGTCACCCTGTGAAATCACTTATTATTTCCGATTGAAGTGCTTCATACTCTTTTACACAAAATCATATTGTCTGAAAAGAAACAAAATTATATGATGCTTGCTGTAAATTTTTGAAGTATTCTCTTAGGTCAAGGAAATTCTGTTCTCTTTCCATTTTTACCAATTTTCCTTATTTATTATAAATAAGTAATGAATTTTAGACAAGTTCTATTCCTACTGAAATAGTTGTTACTCTGTTAATCTTATATATTAATATATTAATAAAGATTTTAGATGTTGAATCATGCTTGTATTCTTTTTAAAGATAAACTCAACTATTCATGGCATTTACTTTGAGAAATCCCAACTCAACATTTTTAGACCCCCTAGCGACTAGCCCATCACAGAGTGACTTGCCCTTCTGCCCTCTCCTGAGAATCGGGAGACCTCAAGATAAACCTAAAAGATAACCCTTCCTTATCCAGGAACTAGCTCACCACATACCTGCTCAATGTTTAACTGTGCAATGCCTAAAGGATGCTTGCTTGAGATAACCTTCCTGTTAAGACATAAGATATCATTTAACTTCCTCATCCGTTATGTTTATGATGTTTGCCTAACTCCCCGATTCAGTTTTTCCCTTTAAAAACCCCCAACTGCAGCTACTAGGGGTCGAACTCCTCTGCCCCTGCGAGGGTCATCAGCCCCAGTGCACTAGTTCCCCAAATAAACCTCATGTGCTTGCAGCAAGAATGGTCTCTCTTGAATAATTGGGGCGTCGGCTTATCCCAAGACTTGAGTGAGGGTCTCTCCACTCTGGGGGTCTTTCAACTTTTTAAGGATACATCAGTTGATTAGTCTTTTATCAAGGACATTTTTTATTGAGGACATAGTGTTGTTAGCATATAACAAATAATCATACTTAGTATATATTCTTTGATAGATTTTGGCATATGAATGGTCTTGAAACCCTCTCATAACCAAGATGATCAAGGCACCTGTTACTCATTAGAACTACCATGCATCCTTTGCAAAACTGTCCTTCTACTCCCCCTAACTCTAATAGTGATGTGTTTCCAACAATCTGCACTACCACTGGTTACTTCTGAGGTAGATATTGCTTCTGCCTGTCCAGAAGAACTAGTTCAATGTGTACTTTGCAGGGTGTGTGAATAGTTGTTTCTGTTGCTGAAAACCTCCCATCGAACAGGGGTACCACAATTTACTTATCCATTTTCCTGATGTAGAGATGTTGACTGTTGCCAAGATTTTGATATTATAAATTAGAAATATTTATTGATGTGTCTTTGAACACCTGTTTTCCCTTTTATTGAGTAAACGCCTAGGAATGAATTGGCTAGCTTAAATCAAAATGGGTAGTTTTCCCTCTTTTTCTGTTTTCATTTTGTTTTGTAATCTTTTGTAGATTTTGTAGAGATCCTGTTCTTCAATGATTTGAAAGTTTATCGAGGCTTGGCTAGAAAGCCAACAAGAGCTTTGCTGTCTTAGGAAGTGAAAATCCAGAGCAGTGGTTCTCAACCTTCCTATTGCTGTGACCCTTTAATACAGTTCCTCGTGTTGTGTAGACCCCAATTATAAATTCTCATTAGTCTCTCATAACTGTAATTTCACTGCTGTTATGAATCATAATGTAAATATCTAATATACAGAATATCTGATGTACAAACCCCTTGGGGGTGGCGAGCCACATGTTGAGAACCGCTGGTATAGAGGCTTGATCTGCTTACTAACAGCATTCATTGCTTTACTTTTAATAAAATTCTTGAAGTTTATGCATTTGTTAATGTTTTTCTTTTCTTTTTCTAAAGAAGGTTTTAAATTTGTGTGTGTGTGTGTGTGTGTGTGTGTGTGTACCTGAACTGCATGCACACAGGAACCTGTTGAGGTCAGAAGAGATAGCAGATCTCCTGGCAATAGAGTTTAGAGCATTGTGAACCACTGTGTGGGCACTGGGAACCAAACCCAGGGTCTCTGCAAGGGCAATGAGCCCTCTCTTAGCTACTGAGCCAAGTCTTCAACCACCATTAATATTTTACAATGTACTTGTTTGAAATTTTCACTGAACCTTAGAGTGTTCTTTAAAACTCTGTCCTGTGTATGTATCAACTTTCCTTTCTAATATTACTTATGCCATCATTACTTTAACATACTAAACCACTCCCACTACTGATTTATCATTAGTTTTAGAAATATCACCTTTTTATTTTATGAATGGTTTTCTTTGTTTTTAAGTTCTTTCTGTTTCTCTTTTTTTGTCATTTTATTCTAGTGAATTTTAAATTTACTGTGATTTTTTTTTACATCCCACCCCCCATTTGGAAGCAGTGTGTGTGTGTGTTTTAATGAATGGTTTACAGGAGTCACTGCTAAGCACGAATCACCTGGAAAGCAAATGGAATTACCGCATTAGAGCTGGAAGAGTGTTAGGGCTACACTTCCCAGTTCCTCTTTTGGGGAATTTCATGGAGCTGGTGTGACAATGTTGTAAACCAAGTGCCTTGGAAAACCAGAAATCTCATAATTCTAGAGGTTATACATCTGTAGTCAAGATATCTACAGCCTTGCTTTCAACAAACCCTACGGGGAAGAATCCTTCCTGGTCTCTTTTTAGCTTTTACTAGGTTGTGAATCCCCAACACTCCTTGGCTTGTGACGGCATCTTGTCTGTGTTTGCCTCTGTTGTCTCCAAGTTTTCCGCTTGTTTTCACAGGGCATTATCCTCTTTTTTTTTAAATCATGACTGCAGTCATACTGAATTAGGACTCACCTTAATAACTTCATCTTAACTTGATTATATTTATAAAGACCCTTTCTCCAACTAAGGAGGTTCATGTTAAGGACATGTCACCGAAATAAAATATCTGTTTATCCACCAGGGGGAGCCAGGTACAGTGGGGCTCCCGGGACAGCCTGGAGTCCCAGGGGAAGATGGGGCCTCTGGAAAGAAGGTAATCTTATTGCTTTCATATAATCAGTGTCAAAACCGTGGGACTAAAACAGCATCATGGTCCTCCAGGACCTGGGGTTAAACTACCGGGGCAGACAGCATCTGTGAGAACGGAAGGCTCTTTTCATTGACCCCGGAAAGATCCTGGTTGCACAACTGCCTGCCTTGGTGCCTCACAGGCCCTTCGTCATGGCTGGTGTCTTGGCCTTGGCACTTGCTGCTTTCTCTAAGAGTTCTAGAAATCACATCAATATAATCGCAAACAAAAACACCTGCCTTCCTCCAAAAGAGTCTATAGATGCATCTAGTAAGTCAAGCTGTAGTAAAGATGTCTGAACTATTTTCTGTTGACACTTGACGTGCTCGGATTTCAATAAAACCACTGAAAAATAACAGATGACAAGGTGAAAGGCCTTTCTTTTTTAAAACAAAACGCACAAAAACAAAAACAAAAACCTACTCACTGTGAATGAAGAGCTTCGGGCTTTGGAAATTGAGAGACAGGAGTTGTTTGTGGTATTTCATCTGCTCTGGTTAAAGGAGAGTTTGAAGTTAATTGATTCATTCATAAGCTTCCATTTTAATTGAGATGATAACGAAGGTCTGCTGCTTTTGGGGGTGGGTTCTGCGTTCTGTCCCCCCAGAGCCAGCTGAGACATTTGTGTCCTTTCCTTCAGGGAGAAGCTGGGCTTCCAGGAACAAGAGGCCCAGAAGGAATGCCTGGAAAAGGACAGCCGGGCCCCAAGGTATGCAGGTGACAGCTCTGCAGGAAGCAGCTGCTTATGTTCTGGTCCCCAGGCTAAAGAGCTGGTTTAGGAGCTGTCTGACTTACATTCTTACTATGTCTGTATCTTGCAAGTGTGTATTATCTGTCTTTGCTTTCCCACATCCATCCGAAGACCTAGCATTGAAAAGCATTTAACACGTTTTCTCAATAACTGGTCAACAAGCACTTAAGGAAAACATGGGAAGGGAAAGAATTCTCAAGATTCATCGCTAGAATTTGAAAGTGCCTTAAGTTTATTCAAATATTTATAGGCTTTCACATAATAGTAAGGGACATATCTACTCATTAAAGGACAATTTAGGCGATGGGGTTTGTAGTTTAGTGAGAGAATGTGCTTAGCATAAGCCAGGCATGTATTAGAATCCTAGTCTAAAACAAATAAGTAAACAAAATGTCACTTTACTCCCTCTAGAAATGCAGCTCCGATCACATGTTTTTGTTTATTTGTTTTGTTTTTGAGACAGGGTTTCTCTCTGTAGACTGTCCTTGAACTTGATCTGTAGATCAGGCTGGCTTGGAACTTAGAGATTTGGCTGCCTTTGTCTCCCAAGTACCACCACTGCCCAACATGGTTGTAAGTCAAGATGAGAAGATATAAAATTACCCATAATATTAGGCCTTTAGCAGCATAACATACCATCTCTAAGGGACCAGAATTCCTGTAGTTTTTATGCAGAGTTGTCAATCACACTGGGTACATATTTGTATTCTATTTATTATTCTATTAAAATATTGACTCCCAATTAATCAGCCTTGTAAAAATATTAACTAAAGGCAAACCCTTAGTCTTAAATGTGAGGAACTGAAATTTAAATATATCTGTACAGTCACAAGCACTTGAACCTATCAACCTTTTCTTCAAACAAGGAGACAAGAACACTTTTTAAAGCATTGTGTAAATACACATTTAGAGATGCTGACCTAGTACTGATCAGAAGTGAGGCTATGAGGAAGGGCGGGGTCTCTGAGAGAGATCTGGACTTTAGGATATGAGATGGCTAGAGAAAGTCCCCAGAACAGCAATAGCACATGGGTCCTAAGTGAGGGAAATCTAAGAGAATGGGCGTCAAAGCAGTGACAAAGGTCCCGAAATGCACTGTGCCATTCTTCCTGCATTATCGTGATGGACCAAGTGCTGTTTGAAATTTTACTACTTGTGTCACTGCTCTTAATGACTGTGTACTCTACAGTTAATGGCATCCTATGGAATCAATTGGAGGCTTTTTGTTTTTTCTATGGAGCATCCTTTTGTTGATGTGTTAGCATGATTCGTTGGTTTTCAAGGTACCGTCCCTTAATCAGCTGGGTCTGCACCACCTGGGGGATATTTGACATGCAAATTATTGAGCCCTTGTGGAGACTGGCTAAATCAGAAACTCTCTGGATACGGGATCTAGAAATCTGTGCTCTCCCAAGCCCCCCCCCCATGAGTGTGAAAACTGTGGTTCCAGCAGGCTTACCAGCAATGTGCTCCACCAGGTGCTCCAGCCATATGCCAGTGACCTCAGAAGAGAGTCCTTCACTGACCTGGACTCATATCTGTATATAATGCTGCACGGTAGAGCCTCCCAGAGAGAGAGAGTGGTCTAGTGCCAAGAGCTTCGGTGGAAGGTAGCAGAATTCTTTATGGTTGTGGAAACACTGCTAAGTACAACCATGCCGAGAAGCCACGGGAGACAGTTCCCGGCTCTGCTCCAGGTTACTGCTTGAATACCAGCAAAATTATTGGCCTTCCTATGTAGAATCAACTAGACTCCCCACTGAGGAAGAAATGGGGCCTTGATTTGAAAAATATCTCTTTTAATGTTTTTAAACTGAAATAGCATGAAAATTGAGACACGGGCTAGAACAACATCACTTTTTCTGAAATATCGAATGTATCAGAACCATCTGTGCACAGACTCATGGTACAGAAGACTCAAGAAAAAGTTCTTTGCCATTCAGAACTTAAAAATATCAAATCATTTTGAGTAAGTGACAAAGACTGGGCAGGTTTTTGAAGCACTTTGACAAACCTTGGGTGGCCGGGCCGTGCCCAGGTAGACTCACTTGAAAGCTGGTGTTTGCTGAGAGCCTGACTTTCGTGTGGCTGCAAGAGCACCCGCTGATTCAGACTCTTTATCTTTGTAATTGTTCTGTCAGGGTGACGAAGGAAAGAAAGGGAGCAAAGGAAATCAAGGACAGAGGGGCTTTCCAGGCCCCGAGGGGCCAAAGGTATGTTTCTTATATTCTCGTCTGTGCTTGGAGGAGATGGTAACTGTGTCTGGTTTCAATAGAATATTAAATTTCCACTTCAAATTTGATTACTTGTTTCCTTCCCCACAAATACATGACAAAAACCCCCAAGGGAAAATGTCTTTGGAAAACTTTCTCTTTCCAGACCATAATAGAATGGAATAAAGTATATAATCATTTGTGCTTCGGGGGAGAATCTGACTACCAGTCATCTCTAGTTATTACAAAAAAGATAGGGCCATGATGCATTCTGCTTCCCTCCATCTTTTGTTAAACAGCAGAGGTCACTATTGATTGACAGCCTCCATGATGCCAAAGAGGGGCTTCAGAAGGCAGGTCCCACCCTGCTCTGCTTTGACCCACCTGAGCCGATCAGTCATAGGGCTGGAGAATGGGATCTGTTTCACAGAGCAATCATGACAACACAGAGTTTAAGAGACAACACCCTGTCTCTGGCACTGGTACTGTCTCTGGCACTCAGTAAATGGTTGACACAGGAGTGAAAAAAAAATCAATGCTGTAAAATGGAAAATAGGGGTCCGTGACCCAATTTTTCCAGAGCAGGGTGCTAAGGGGGCAGTGGAGAGGGAGGCAAGCAGTAAGAAGTATCCTGATCTCATGGGAGCTTGCTGTAGTCGACGTCAGCAATCCTGAGGGTTTGTGTCTCAAGGAAGACACAGGCTGTCTTAGTTAGGGTTTAAGGTTTCCATTTCTGTGAAGAGACGCCATGACCACAGTGACTCTTATAAAGGAAGACATTTAATTGAGGTAGCTTATAGTTTCAGAGGTTTACTTCGTTGTCACCACGGTGCAATGTGGTGGCATACAGGCAGACATGGTGCTGGAGCAGAAGCAGGAGCAGGAGCTGAGGATCCTACATCTTTAACTGTAGGTAAGAGGAAGTGGTCTGAGACACTGGGCATGGTTTGAGCATATATGAGACCTCAAAGCCCACCCCACGCCCCCCCATCCCCCCACCTCCCAACCCCCCTCACCCCCCCCACAATGACACTTCCTCCAACAAGCCACACCTACTTCAAACAAAGCCACATCCCTAACAGTGCCACTCCTTATGAGCGTATATGGGCCAATCACATTCAAACTACCACACAGGTTATCAAAAAAGAGGTAAGATTGTTTAACGAATAGGTGATGAGAAACCAAGTTTCTTTTAAAGCTTCTGTATTAGATTTATTAATTTTATTTTAGGTGTGTGCATTTTCCCTGTGTATATGAATGTGTACCATGTACATGATTGGTGCCCTTGGAGGTTAGGCAAGAACATCTGATTCCTTGGAGCTGGAGTAAGGGATGATTGTGAACCAGCCTGTGATTGCTGGAAATAGAATCCAAGCCTTCTGCACAAGCTAGAAGTGCTCTTAACTGCAGATCCATCTCTTTAGCCCCAGGAAAGCAAGTTTTGAAAACTGGTATTGACAAAATGAGAGTGCTACAGAACAGGATTGCTAGTAGAACCATGATTGTCATTGCCCTTAGGTCTGTGGTTCTCAACCTGTGGGTCACAACCTCTTTGGGGTTGCATATCATATATCCTACATATCAGATACTCATATTACCACTAATAATAGCAGCAAAATTACAGTTACAAAGCAGCAATGAAACAGTTTTATGGTTGGGGGTCACTACAATATGAGGAGCTGTATTAAGGGGTCTCAGATTAGTGCCTCTCGGTGCTATGGGGAAATTGTTAGAAACCAAAGTTTCTTGGTCTTGCCCCCAGAGTCTCTGAGATCTGGCTTTAGTAAATTCTTGGGGCAGATCCAGGGATCCATATTTCTTCAAGAGCCACAGGTAGTTCAAGAAACACATTATAAAGAATTGTCACTGTGAAAGAAATGTATTTTATTAATATTAGCAATAAGGCATTACTTTTTATGTTGTAACTAATCTTATTCAAAGTAAATATGGCATTTTAATAGAAGATTTTTTTAAAAGATGAAGAAAAATTGGAATATTATAAATCATAATTACACCTTAATATAAGATCTTGATAAGCAAGGGAGCTATAAGATACTTTTCATATTTTAAAAGGAATAAACCTAGAAACATATTTTTTGTCTTAACACTGGTTTTAGTGAACATTTATTTATTTCTGTATTTGTGTGTGTGTGTGTGCGCGCGCACACACATGCCTGAGTCAGAGGACAACTTGTTGGAGTCAGTTTTCTCCTTCACCATGTGGATTGCAGGGTTTGATCTCAGTTTGTCAGGCATGGCAGCAAGTGCCTCTACCTGCTGAGCCATTCACTTGTCTTTAGTGAAAAATTTTAAAGACTTAAGTTTTGTTCCTTTGTCAGAGGGTGGGGGTGGGTATATCTGTTGCCAGATCATAACTCGGGTGACACGGGCCATCACCCACCGGTTGGGATTTAAGGTTGAGCACACACCTTCTGTGGCATGAAGCAGGTCCCAGCAGCCTGTGTGCTCAGTTAGTAGGCTGTACTGTGGAGAATCGCCACAGCAGAGGCCTCAGCGAGGAGAGGAACATGGTTCCTCATCAGCGAATGCTTTGATGGTGTTCCTCCTGGAAGAATTGGGACTGCCCAGTTCATGCACATACAACAGGCAAAGGAGGAATTAGTTACTGAACTAAGATCGTAGAAGCCGACTGAAGCATAACACAAAAATGCTTCTATCTCTGAAGCAGGACTCCATCTTTCTTTTTTCTTTTAAAGGGGACAGGTAGAATGTCCAGAGATCTACAAGGATGACCCAAACTAACAATCTAAGCAATAGTGGAGAGGCTACCTTAAATGCCCTTCCCCAGTAATGAGATTGATGACTACCTAATATGCCATCCTAGAGCCTTCATCCAGTAGGATGGAAGCCGAAGCAGAGATTCACAGCTATACACTGAGCCTGAGCCGAACTCTTGGAATCCAGTTGCAGAGAGGGAGAAGTGATGAGCAAAGGGGTCAAGACCAGACTGGAGAAACCCATAGAAACAGCTGACCTGAACAAGGGAGAGCTCATGGACCCCAAACTGATAGCTAGGAAACCAGCATAGGACCAACCCAGACCCCACCTTGAATGTGGGTGTCAGGAGGCCTGGGCAATCTATGGAACCTCTGGCAGTGAATCAGTATTTATCCCTAGTATACAAATGGACTTTGAGAGTCCATTCCACACAAAGGAATACTTTGTCAGCCTAGACACATGAGGGAGGGCCTAGGCCTTGCTCCAAATGATATGACAGACTTTGCAGAGCTGAGATGGGAGGCCTCACTCTCCCTGGATAGCAGAAAGGGGATGGGATAGGGAGTTGTTGGGGGGGGCAGGGAAGGAGGGGAGGGAGAGGAACTGGGATTGATATATAAAACAAGCTTGTTTCTAATTTAAATTTTAAAAAAGGAAAAAAATGTAGTTCATCTTTGTCTGCCAAGAAGCAAAACTGAGGCTGTTATATAGGCACTTGCACTACAACTGCTTGAAAATATGAGCACTAGTCTTAGCCCAAGGCTGTTCAAAACCTGGGGCAACCTGGCTTTGACCCACAGCTTGCAGTTTTCCTATCCTTACTCTGAAACAGTAGTTTCCAAAGGTCTCTGATTACAGACACATGCCAGTAAAATTCTGATCACATTCCAAATAAATTTGTTCATTTTCTTTAGTTACAATTTTAGATATATAAAACATGTTGCTAATATATGTTTGGAACTTTACATAAAGCATGTAAAATATTATAATTTTATGTATGAAAATGAAAATGTGTATCTTAGTTAGGGTTTCTATTGTTGTGAAGTAGCACAATTACCATGACAACTCTTATAGAGAAAACCATTTAATTGAGGTGGTAGCTTACACTTCAGAGGTTCAGTCCATTATTATCATGGTGGGGAGCATGGTGGCATGCAGGCAGACTTGGGGCTGACTACATCTTGACCAGAAGGTAACAGGAAGTGGACTGAGTGTCACACTGGTGAAATTTGAGCGAAAGAAATCAAAGCCCATCCCTATAGTGACACACTTCCTCCAACAAGGTCACGCCTACTCCAACAAGGCCACACCTTCTCATAGGTACACCTCCCTTTAGGGACCTTTTTCTTTTCAACCACCACATTCTACTCCCTGGCCCCCAAAGACTTGTAGCCATATCATAATGCAAAAGTGGATTTACTCCTACTTCAAAAGTCTCCATGGTCTATCAGTCTCAACAGTGTTTAAAAGGCTGAAGTTCAAAGTCTCTTCTGAGATTCATGCAATCTCTTAACTGGAATCCCTCTAAAATCAAAATAAAAAAGCAGATCACATACTTCCAACACATAATACCACATTACCATTCCAAAATGGAGGGAAGCGAGCGTAGTGAGGAAATACTTAACCAAAGCAAGCCCAAAAACCAGCTGGGCAAACTCCACACTCCACATCTCCGTGTCTGATGTCAGAAGCTCTTCAGATCGCTGTGTTGACTGTAACACACTTCTTTCTCTTGGGCTGGATCTGCTCCCTGTTAGCAACTCTCCTCGGTAGGTATCCCATGACTCTGGCATCTCCAGCTTCTGGGGGTCTCCAAGGCAATCCAGGCTTCAACTTCACAGCTTTACACAATGACCTCTCTAGACCTCCAAGCAGGGACATTCCAGACCTCAGGGGCTTTCCTTAATCCTGGAATAAATTCCATAACCCAACTGTTCTATCTTTAACTCTACAGCCAGAACCATGTGGCTGAAGCTGCCAAGTTCTGTTGGAGCTGAAACATGGCCTCCTCAATTACATCTTCATCAGCTTTCTGTCCTTCACTGCCTGAGCTTGGCTGTCTTGAAACTTGTTTTGTAGAACAGACTGGCCTCAGAGATCTGCCAGTCTCTGCCTTCCCAGTGCTGAGATTAAAGGTGTGTACCGCCACACCTGTCTCCAAGTTTTTCTTTAATTCCATTGCACAAGTTGGAAACTTAACTGAGTGGCATCTTGCCCCGATGTCATCACTCCTTTTATTCCATTTCTTACTCTCTTCATCTCCTTGAACACAGAATTTAGCTACATTCCACTTCCTCGTACTCTTTTTCTCCTTAAGTTTTACATTTCGTAATTTACCCTGTCCAACTCGCTCCTTCTTGTTATAAATCTTCATTAGAGTTACCACTAACACACAACAGAGTGTATACTAGGCTGTTTTGAGATTTCTTCTGCCAATGGAATTAATCCAAAACTGCTTCACCTAAAGCACTCCACTGTTTTTATATCCCGAAGTACCAGAGTCCAAATTTTTCCAAACAAAAACATGGTAAGGCCTGTCACAGCAATACCCCAGTCCCTGCTACTAATGCCTGTCTTAGGGTTTCTCTTGTGAAGAGACACCATGACCACATCACCTCTTATAAAGAAAACATTTAATTGAGGTGGTGGCTTAGAGTTCAGAGGTTCAGACCTTTATCATCATGACAGGGAGCATGGCACTGTGCAGGCAGGCGTGGTGCTGGCTACATCTTGACCAGAAGGCAAAAGGAAGTAGACTGAGTGTAACCCTGCGTGTAGCTTGAGTAAAGGAGACTTCAAAGCCCATCCCCACAGTGACACATTTCCTCCATCAGGGCCATGCCTCCTAACAGTGCCACTCCCTTTGGGTATGTTTTCTTTCAAGCCACCACCATATATAAAGTTGTGATATTTTCTTTTTCTGTCCCAGGGTATCATTTTGAACAATTGTGATGCGCAGCGGCAAGTGTTTTAGAACAGGGTCTTTACAACTGTGTTAACAGCACTGTGTCAGAATCCCCAGAGCTGCATATAAAAATTAATATTCTCAGGCCCCGTCATTTAGACCAATGGAGTCTGGATTCTGGACTTGAAACTGAGCACTGTATATTTGCCAAACTCTGTCTGTGCGCTGGCATTTGAGAAACACTGGTATAGATTCAGGCGAGACACAGAATTACCTTTGGGACTTAGTATTAGATAAAAAGGAGGCAGAAGGAGTGATAGAGTGGGCCAGGAAGGCAGGAAGGAGCAAGAGAGAAGATGTTTCAGTTTTCCTATTCAATTTTTAAATAAAATATATAAAGACTGATTCAGAGAAAGGATGTGTACAATGGAATACTAATACAACATGGGTCATGACAATGAAAGCAACAAAGGAAAAAGGCTTATAAATTAGCTGAGTACTGTGAAACTTGTGCTGAAGACTATTTCTATAATTGAAAACAAGATTTTTCTCTGAGTTTCTTGGCATACAATATAAAACACAGGCACCATGGATTGTTCCATATTTATTGGCCAGTAAAAAGCTGCACAAGAGATCAAAAATTCCTACTATTCAGGAATTAATTGGACACATTTATTTAAAGGCACTGAGAACTTACAGGGTAATAACTTCAGCAGTGGTCTACAAAGGATGCTCCAATCATTTCCATGTTCACACTTACAGAGACAGGGGTTTGAATGAAGTTTGCAGACACTTGTTTTCTTGTTATAATTACTGCATATGGCTTCTCTGCTTGAAATGTAACAGCTATTCTGGTTTTCTCAGGGAGAGCCAGGCATTATGGGCCCTTTTGGAATGCCTGGACCATCAATTCCTGGACCAGCTGGGCCAAAGGTATACATTCTTGGGACTCTTTAAAATTGGAGTGGAAAATGCATATATGTTTTTATGTGGGTGATGATGATTCTAATAAGCTAGAAGTTTAGTTTGGGAAGATCCTCAAGTGATATTCAGCCAGATTTCACACCCCTGACACCAAGCTTGCATATTCCCTGTGCTCCCTCTCCCAACCCTTAGGCCTGACCACACATATGAGTGTCATTTCATTCACAGGAGAATCTACTAAAATCTACAATGGGAAAGTCTAGATGAAAATACACACTCAGTTTTAGGCATTCTTATATCTACATATTTGAGTCTAATTATCACATGGATTTTCCCAGACTCCTACAGAAATCTTTACTGACAGGCTTATTAACTCTTCATTTGAGTTTCTTGAATCTGTCTTAGGATGAGTTGGATAGATCAAACTCTTTATACACAGGCAGTCTATTTTCACTGTGCACTTCTGTAGTTCCTTGTGTAACCTAGAGCCTTGCCAATGTCATTTGAAATGGACAGGGTGATCGAGGAGGACCTGGGGTGCCTGGCCTTAAAGGAGAACCTGGGCTTTCCATTCGAGGACCAAAGGTATGGTTTATTTATGCTTCCTTTGTGCGTGCGAAGGTAGACTTTGGATTGGTTCATGGTGTAGGAGGCAGAGTCCATCACGGTTGGAAAATCATGGTGGCAGGAATTTGCCCTCATCTTGTCCAGTCAGGAAGCAGAGAAAGGAGAGTGCTGGTGGTCATTGAGCCTTTTTCTTCCCCCCTTTTTTAATCAAGTCCAGACCCTAGTGTATGGGATGGTGCCATCCCATTCTTCCTTCAGCAAGCTCTCCGGAAGCTCCCTCAAAGAGCCTCTCCCAGGTGATTCCAAATCTTGTCAGATTGGGAATCCGGACCCATTGCACTTACAGTTAGGTTAGAAGTAACAAAGTTACCACAGCTTCTGAAGACCTGGAGGGAGAAAACGCTTGCAATGCGTGTTCTGCCCTCTCTCCTCTGTGGTGAGTACCAGGGCCTAATAGCTTACAGCTGCTGGAAATACATCATTGGCTTAGAACAGAAATAAAGGCCAAGGGTAAAATTGAATTCTTTTTCTTTTAAGCATAAGCAGGGATCAGTTACTGTTACTTATTTGCTTGTTTTGTTGGCTGTCTCCTTGCACCATAGTGAGGGCAGAGATGACATCATATGTGGGAAAAAGTCTCATACAGGAATGGCCAGAGTTACATTAAATGTAGCTGGAACAGCTTAGCAAGCTGATTCTGGTAGTGACCAGTTTCCAATTAGGGATGTCCCTTCATCTGCCTCCCCATCACACTATGACTTTAAGAAATCATCTTGAGTTTGTGCTGGCAGCACATAGTGTTTTTGTAAATGGTCAAATAGTCTCCAATGGTGATCATTTTTGAAGCCAACCACATGAAATCAGACTCTTAGGATTGACAAGGTAAGACAGCTGTCACATTTGTGACTCTCAAACTAAATTTAACTTTCTCAGTGCTGAAACGGCCTGTTGCTTTTATCCTTCCCTAGTCTGTCATTTATTCCTTGGCAGAGTTAGTACCGATGGAGAGCTGGATCGAGGGCAGCATTTTGGGTTGGGATAATCATAGTTTGATCTCAGAGTTTGCTTGCATATAAAGGAAACATTTGAAGGTGCCATTTGCTTTTCCATTCTTGGAAAACAAAAGTTGGCCTGTTACTAGAGTTTCCACCTAATATAAAAATAATAGGTAAATGATCTAAAGCCCAAATAGCTCTTTTTTAAAGCAAGCGATGTGTGTAGACAAATTCTGTTAGCCATCATAGTAACAAAACACTGTGGTGCGTTGCAAAAACACCATTTTAGATATGTATTTAGTAAGTCTGTGAAATTAGTACATCTTCTAACTGATTCTTCAAGTTCTTTTCCTTCCTACGCTCCCATTTTACTCTACTTAGAAATTTCTTAGATTTTTCTTTGTAAGGGAATTATACATTTAATAGGACAAGAGTCATCTCTCCCTGACCTCTGTACAGGAGATAGATGGCTGCTAGTTAAAGTCACGGTGCCCGGGGTTCGCAGCAATTAGTCAGGAGGTGTCAGTCTGCAACTTAACCTGCTTGAATCTCCATTTGGGTGATTCAGTGCTCTGTAATTTCCAGAGGAGCACAGTAGACATAACTCAATGTGGTAGGCCCTTTATATTTGACAGTCTGCAGTCAAATCAGTTACATATTCCTTTTTAACCCCCCCCCATACAGTGCTTCCTTAATTTTCTCCTGTGAAGGTTTCTCCCTGATTTGTGGTACACTAGGCATTTGTACATTTTTTAGTTAAAATACTAACAACAGCTGTTTTCCAGTTCCCATGACCTACATAATAGTTCATATAGTCTTTACTTTGACACCACACATCCAGTGACATCAAATGAATAGGACTACTGAGGAGATAAGGAACTGCTGAATGTGTCAGGATATTCTCCTAAAGTTTCCTTTGCCTTCTCAAATCCATCTTTGGTTTTGTTTGTTTTTTTTTTCTTTTTGAGGCAGGGTTTCTCTGTATTGTTTTGGAGCCTGTCCTGGAACTCGCTTGGTAGACCAGGCTGGTCTCGAACTCAGAGATCCGCCTGCCTCTGCCTCCCGAGTGCTGGGATTAAAGGCGTGCGCCACCAACACCCGGCTTCAAATCCATCTTTGTTTTATTGAAAAGTGTTTAGCATAAGCTCCGCTAGATGGTTCATGTTTTTGTACCATGACTCAGTCTTGGGATTTTTGCAGGGTGTCCAGGGTCCTCGGGGACCAGTGGGTGCTCCAGGACTCAAAGGCGATGGCTATCCTGGTGTGTCTGTAAGTGTGGATGTGTCTTCTTTTTCATATAAATTGTTTTAAATTTGTGCATATTAAATATGCATAGTTGGGCTATAGTATGATAATTTGATACATGAATACAATGTAATGATCAAATTGGGATTAATTAGCATTTTCTGTTTTCTTAAAGATTTATCATTTCTTTGTTTTGGGAACGTTTGAACTCTTATCGTTCCCTATAAACTATACAATCAGTTGTAGCAATGATAAAGCCTTTCCTCCCTCCCTTCCTGTCTCCCTCCCTCCCTCCCTTCCCCCCTCTTCCCTCCACTTTTCTGAGCATTGCATACTACAAGGATGCTATGTTACCCTAGGGACCTAGAGGAATGCCAGGACCCCCTGGACCAATGGGCTTACGTGGTGTGGGAGACACTGGAGCAAAGGTAAGATTTTTAAAGCAGGTAACAATACTAGTTTCTAAGAAAGTACTTACAGGAAACCTTGGGAAATGTGATTAATTTTTATCTGAAACACTAGAAGAATCGTGATGTAGAAAATAATTACTGATTTCCTAGGCAACAGGCCCATGAAATATTGATTGGCTTCTTGGTTCTTGCACTGACTCTTTGGTAGCGACCCTCACACGTCCTTGCTTCTTCCTCTTCTGTACCAAGGTCTGGGTTCAGGTCAGAGCCTCTTCTCTCCCTTCATCCTGCTCTTCCCCTAGCTTGTCTCATCCTGTCCCATAGTTTTATGCCCTGTCTTTATGATGATGGTGTCCAAGTCTCTAGCCTTTCTTTCTTAAGCTTTTTCTCATGTATCTAATTTCTTATACAAATGACCTTTCAATTACTTTCAAACCAGTGTCCTTAATTCTTACCCTGATGCAGTAAAAGGCAGTGCTGCACAGCCCAAGAACTTAATCATCCTTTGGTCCTTTCTTGCCCACGGTCTTCAGAGTCCTGCCCTTTGCTTCATTCTAACAGTTTCATGTTCAGAACGCACCAGCAGTCTGCAACATTCTCTTCTGCAGCTTCCTTCAAGAAGACCACCACCATGCCTGGACCACCACCATGCCTGGGTACCAAGATGCCTCTTCACTGAGCTTCCCCCTTCCAAATAAGAGAACATTCCATTCCTTCTTAGAAGTACTCTGGTGGCTTCTCTGGCCTTGGAATGAAACTCAGCAACCTCCCCAGCCTTTGAGGCCCTCATGACCTGACACATCTGTTTTCCATTGCCCTGACAGCCAGTCACACTGGGATCCTCTCCCTGAAACTCTTTCATGCTTTCAGGGCCATGGATCTGTGTGTTAAGGACTCAGCCAAAGTTGCCCCCCAGAGTTCTCTTACAAAACATCACCACCGCCCTTTTACACATGTTTCATGTGTAGACTGGATCATTCTCTGGGATCGTTAGGCTTGTTCATTATCAATGGTGCTCTGTAGGTTCCGTGACATGTAAGGTTTCTTGGAGGCAGGTTCATTGCAGTCTCTTCTAAGCTCTGGATTCCAGAATTAAGTGTTATCACCCAGCTCTAAAATCTATTGAATGAATCATCAGGATTTTTATAGAGAGAAGTCCGTTTTTAACTATTCAGCTACTCACTTCTATTTTTCATGCTTCTAGGTCATTGCACAAAGATGATATTTGTTCAATGCTGTTAACCCTTTTTGTTGTTGTTTCTGCTACAGTAGTTAGCAGTGAGAATGCTTATGGACCACTCCCCTACTTTACAAGGTGCTCTTTTCTCCTGCCTGATCCAAGGAGAAAAAAAGATTAGATACATGGCCATAGCGACCATCTGTAAGAGGGATTTCCACATCTGCCCCAGTTGTAATTCTTGGGGTAATTGTGAGAATGCCAGTGAGAGGTGTCACTTCAGTGTCACATAATATGATATATGTAGAACTTGAGATGCTCTGATCAAAGTATAGGTGGGTTTGACTCAGATCTTTGAAGAAGCCTTAACGTTGTCAACAAACTGTATTCAGATGTTCAGGCATTTTTCATTAACATGTAGCATCTATCAAAACATTAAATTTTAATAAAGTAGAAGGATCTGTACATAAGTATCATTACTTCCTGCTCCAAGTGAAACATTGGTAAAGCCTTTTGTTATTATACTAAATATTTCCCAACAGGAAGCAGGAGCTTATTTCTGTTTAAAATAAGATATGAAATAAAATATGTTAAATAGATACTTGGCTGTATTTGTGTTGCAATGGAAGCATATGGCCATTTATATTTTCAAAGAGTAGCTGGTTATGAATATTTATAAATTATTATATTAAATTATTATGTTACTGCTTTATATTTAGTATTAATAACTATACTGATAAAAACATTTAAAGTTTAATTCTTGTGAATATTCCTCTCTCTCAGATGATTTAATATGTAGACTAAGGTATTTTCTGAGTGATTTTGTATATCACATTCCTGTAAAAATCTCATGCTTTCACATTTTTTCATTATTTTTTGGCAAAAATACCGAGAAAAGTGTTCTTACTTGCAAAATTTTATCCTACCTTTTTGATTTTAGAAGTAGCAAATGTGTTTCCAGAAGGCATTCTGTGAGTGAAACTCATCTTGGCCTCCAACTCACTTTCAGCAGTAGAGGGTGGGGGAGGACATGGCCAGAATCTCCCTGTTTCTGCTCATCTGCCTCCCTCCGAGTTGCCTTTCCCTCCTCTGCATTGCCTTCTGTTTCTTCTGTGCAGAATTATTAGCCACAAGAACTCCAGCTCAGAAGGAGATATTAGGAGCAAGAACTTATCTTAGAATCAAAGGAACTTTTCAACCATCGATTTGAAAATAAAGAAAAGTCTGGAAGCAAACGCTAGCTTTTAAATAACATCCAAATTCATCTCTCCTTTTGCATAGAGGCCCTAAGTCTCCATCTGGCCTTCCCTTCTGAAGAAGACGATGAAAGCACACATTTATACAAACACATACACAGACATAAATGAGGAAAGCAAAGGAGATATTTTGAAAAAGTTGACTTTGAGTTAACTTCATCCTTCCAATAGAGATCAAGTCATCAAAAATTGTCAATGAAAGACAACAAAAGCCTAGTACCCAAATATGTGACAAATTTTTCTGTTACTTTGAATTAAAATACCAGAGAAACTGTAAGTATCTAGAGGTGTGTGTGTTCACATTTATATCCAGACATGTTTTTCATTTAAACTTTGTGCAGAGTTAAAACCTTGGCCTTAAGGCATGAACTTGCAAAACAAATGTGTTTTGAAATGAGGAAACTATTAAGCTTGATGATTAATTTATGATGGTTTATGCGATATTTAGTGAAGGTCACATATGTTTAGCATATGACACAAACATTAGAATCAAAGTGTCTATGTTTTAAAACATATAAAAAGCAATGCCTGGCATCTAGCACCTTGTGGAACTCTGCTTTCCCCTAGTGGAAAATGTTTATAGACCATCAAATTTTGGCAAGAATTTCTGAGCTAATTCAAAATTCTTATAAAAATTTTCTAGGACCATAGTAGATGTAGGTTTTAAAGTCCACCGGGCAACACGCTGGGAAAGAACCAGCGCATTTGGTCTCTTGCTGAGTGAAGTTTTGTCCTGGTGTCTACAAGCACACTGATGGAAGTCATTCTCAGAGCCCCTGCCCATCCCTGCCTGTGTCCCTCCACTGGTGCCTTGAGAATAACGGGAGTCCTTGTCATTTGAAGACAGTTTTGAGCCACTTTCGTCTTTCTTTTAAGGACTGCAGCTAAGTAATTGCTCTCAGGTCTTTAGCTAAAAAGCCCTAAAGGGGCCTGTAGCTGAGAGAGAGCTGACCCTCAGGTAAGGCCCAATCTTAGAGTTTGTCTCTGGCCTTGCTGAAATAGAATACTGGGGTGGCTGTCTGAGCTCCTCAAGGACAAATTCATCTTGCCTGGTCCTCTTTGTTCTGTAAGTGCCAGGATAAACCAACATCTCACCCAAACCTGTGAAATGATTTCCTATACACCAATCCTTCAAAGCTAGCCTGGATTTGGAGACACTCCAAGGGCTTGCTTAGCTATCAAGTAGTTGAAATAACACACATGGACAGAGGATTACTAGATTGCTAATCATTCTCTGGATTATGATAATGGTTATAATTAGTATTTATAACCAAATATTTCTAAAGCATTGCATTTTGAACATTTCCCCTCTTTACAGAGAAGGATATTAATGATCAGAGGCTGAGCAGCTTGCCTCTTTGCATTGTAAACATATTATAGCTTGCATGTTTTTGTTTGGGAGGGAAACTATAATCTGACGAATGGCTGACTGAATGGAGGAGTAAGTCTGAAAAGAAAGAATGGCTTTCCAGCCCCTGGTACTCAGTGTCCCACGCTGTCCGTTCTCTGATTACCTTGTACAGTTTTGCATGTAACTGGATTGCTCTTATTTCTATTCTACCTTTTCTATGATCAAAACCTAGATTGTATAAACTGTAAAGAGAAGCACAAACACAACCCCAAAAGAGTTAAACATTTCTCCCAAGTCTTAAATATTGAGTATTGTAAATACATCCTTTATTTGACAAAAGTGGCCTATAATAGTAAATTAAAATGCAAGTCTATGTGAAATTCCACTGAGTATCATTATTCTAAAAATGTTCCCAGAGTCTGAATTGCTTCTCTGTTCTCTGCAGTGGCTCACATATGTGCATGCTACCACCGAATCTTGGCAGAATAGAGGGCCAATTCACAAAGAGATGCATTAGGAATCTGGGGCTTCCATCAGCAGCTGTGGACTGGACAAGGAACTCCATTTTGAACAGGCCAGACAAGAAGGGCCAGCCAAGGATGCAGAATTCGAGATAATGATATTAAAAATTCATGATTCCAAAGTAGACTAGAGACCCACTTCTCCCTAGTAGTCCCCGAATCCGGGGGAGGCAGGGTAGTGGAGTTGAATGGATAACGCATATGATCAAAATACGTGGTTATGAAATTTTCAAGAAATTAATACAATTATATTTGAAAATGTTAGGGAATGGGTCATAAGCTCAAAGCAGTAATAATTAAAGCCAGAAACGTGAAGTTTGAAGGGTAGGGAGTCTGACCTGAAGGTTTCTGAAAATGTCAAATTCAGGACCTGGGAAATTTGATGGGGCAACTTTTCAAGGCAATTCCTTGAATCCTTGAAAGCTGAGCTGACTCCAGGCTGCCCAGTACGTTAAATACTGCTTTCCTCTCTGCCTGCTGTTTTCTGGGGCTGCTTTCTTCTTCCCTGGAGCCTACATATTGCTGCAGATCCCGAAGGCAAACACTAAACCCTGAACATTCACTACCACATCGACATCTATACATTTGTGCTTCTAGTAATGAAGACTGTAGGAACTTCCTCTGGGAAAGAGGTGCAGTGAATATGTATAGCAGAGAGCCTTTTCTTCCCTTATTATGGGCAATATGGGTACCTTACTTGCATAATTTTGAAC